AGCTTGTCAAGGAAAATATATAACACACAAGGTTAGAGTAACAAAATAGAGGTTTTGCTTTATTTCTTAAGAATTACTCTAATCTAAAACTTTTCTATGTTGTAGAAATTTATTCTATACGTTATTTAGGTACTTACTGCAAAATCTATAGGAAAGTATGTAGTTTTAAATATTAAAATTTATAATGGAGACATATTTAGTGTAGTTTTTTTTACAAATATATACTCAGTGACTTGTTTTAGTGAATGAGTTCAAGTATGGCAGACTAAAATCGTTACTTTTTATTATAAATTTATTTAAAAATGGGAACTATATGTATATGGTTTTCGTAGTTTTTACACTTGTAATAAAAATATCAAAGTTATGTTTATTGGCCATTTACTACACACAGCAAATTCATAGACACTATACATATCACTATTTGACATTCTTATTAAACTCATTAATTTAAAATTAACTTTAAACTGAGTGACTACACACAGAATTGTTTGAAAGCAGCCATAAGGTATAATTTATTTATTGGATACTATAAAAAATTAATAGTAGTTACATGTAGAGTTAAGTAACAAGAACTTTAAAAACAAAACAAACCTTTATATCTAGTGAACTTAATTTAGTACAGTCCTCAACTTTCTTAGGCTAATATTAACGATATCTATTTAGACCTCGCTAAAAAACTCATTGGTAACAGCCATTATCTTGTTAAAAGGAAATATACTACTTGGATCTAAACTAAATAATTTTTTGTTACTTGGAATTCTTAGATTAATCTTTGCCACATTAAAATTTATATAGTCAATCAAATCACAATCTTTGTACTTAACATTATTTAAAATAGAGTACAAAATATATCACAGCCTGTTGCTTTCTTCTTTGTAAAAGAGATTTAATCTTAAAACTATCGAGCATAGTTTTATATGAGATCTTATAAAGGTACAAGTATTTTTTATGGCATAAAGGTATGATAAAAATATTTTTTGTACTTTTTCAATATGATCAATATGTGTGGCTTTCAAGGGCATCCATATTTGTGAAACATACTCAAGATGGGTCTTAGTAAGGCATTATATAATTTGATTTTGGTGGTAATTCTAAATTTTTTTTGTATTTCTGATTTAAAAACCCAAAGCTTTTATTGTTTTTTTAGTTATGTGTAAGAAATGGTTATTAAACTTCAAATTAGACCGAAAGACAACTCCAAAATCCTTTATCTCATATTCACGATTTAATGTGACATCACAGGTCTTGTGTCTAATGTAAAAAATTAAGAGGCTATGGATCCTTACAACTTAAAATATGCATATGTTTGTAAGTGTTAAATGGACGAATAAAAAGTGTTGTTTTTATTTACAACTATAATAAGAAACATATTATTTTTGATACCTGATAATCAATAAACAATATATTTTTTGGAGTAGTAACAGATTTATTAATACACAACTATTATTTTGTTACAAATATTTATATTATAATATTTATAATTAACATAATAGTTGATATAAGTCCTTTAAAAATAATATATTTTGATTTAATTGTTGAATTTATACATGAACAATTTTCCTTGTAGCGTTGTTTACATTTTGCAGAGAACTATTGTATTCTGCTTTTAGTTGATAAATCACGTACATGTAAACGGGTTGAATGTAGACAATGTTAATGTTTTTGCTACTACTGCTGGCTAGGAATGCTGGGCTGGGACACCAACACAAAAAAAACGAAGCACAAAACACTAGATCAGTTTCTATCACTTATACACTTACAATTTACAACCATTCAAGGAACTAGCATGTTGGAAATACTTTACGAAAACATATTAAACATAAATCAGTCGAATACAATGTATTTTCTTCTTATAAGACACCTTTTTAGCTTGATTACTTCTAGTACTCTATTTATTCCAATGTCCTCAAATAAAACTAGCAATAATACGTAACAATAAGGATAAAACACACACTAAAGTGTATTTGGGGTATTTTTGATCTAAATTCACTATCAAAACAACAAATTTTCCGTTTTTAAGCTGTGAATGTATTACAAAAACTAATTCGATAAAATGTAAACAAAAGTTTGTATTTGTGTACGAAATATGGATTGCCTGCGCATGGTAGCGAGTTTTTAACCGGATTTATGACAAGTGATAGGTTATATCCCGAAAACGTCAGCGCAGTAAAAGCTGCGTGTCTTTTTCCCGCCCAGGGAGTGTCATGGGCCTGCCCAAAATCAGGGACTGGTAACTCAAATGGAAAAAACATGAGGCTGGTAATTTAGTACCACTTCAATTAACGGGATGGCGCTCGTATCGAACTGTCATGTCAGTTGTCAGCTCGTCAAAACTTCAAACTCAGATAAAATAAAATGGCTGTTGTATTTGAAGGTGTATTGAATTTTGATTCATCTAGAATGTAGATTTATTTTTCAACACCTTCCAATTTTAAGCATGTTTTCAAAAGATGGGAAGATGGATTTCAGCAACAAACAATAAAGCACTCCCAGATATTGGTAGTAATGCAATTTATACCACATTAAATATGCAGTCGTCCCCCAAATTGTAATAAGTGTCTTAAGAAAAATGCACCATCACTGTACCAACGGTAAGTAATATTTACAAACTTGTATTTAATTATTTAAATGGTGTAAATGCATATTTGTTTGAGTATTTCCATGTTTAAATAGACAAATTATATGATGCGGCGTTAATTTACTGTAATAAATAAAATAAAATAAATTGCATTTTATTTCAAGTTTGAAATTAATGCAAAAATATAATGAAGTAAAATCAAATAAAGATAAAAATTGGCAAAATATTTGACTAGTTTCAAATCACAAAACAGTCAATATGGTTGTTTTATGATTTAAAACTAGTCAAATATTTTTCCAATTTTTTTGCTTTATTTGATTTTCTTTATTACATTTTTGCGCTACTACACAGTTAAATTTCAAAAAGCCCGCTCATGGCGGCCATATTGAATTTTAGTACCACTCCAATTTGATAGATGGCAGCACATCGACTCATAATTTTACCATTGAGTTTCCCATCTATTCAAGTAATCTATGGACAAAATTAAATACTGGTCCATAAATACTGCAAAACGATTGTTTAAGGAAATCATTCAAAAAAGATGTAAGAATATTCTTGATTCAATAAAAGTATAAATACATAAACAACACTAAAAAACATTTAAAAACAAATGTTCGATTTTGAGATTATATCTAAATTTCTCAAAAATGTGTTGGATGGAAGATGGCCTTAATTCGTAAAATGCCATACTGGTGCCATCTATCAACAGATAGTCACACTATCGAGTTGCACATATTACTTGTAGATGCCGAAACTTGATTTTAAATTAAAGGCTGTATGTCACGATACTAAATTAAGTACTAAATTTAGCACTAAATTAAGTTATTAATTTAGTACTAAAAATATTTTTTTTCCGTTTGCAACGATACCAATTTTTAGTACTAAATTTACTATAGGCGCACGCGCATTGACGTATTAATACGTGAAATTAGCAGAGAAATGAAATATTCTGTGTGATACAGACAAGTGAAGTAAACAAGTAAATGGTGTTTTTATTATCAATTTGACAGTGATTTGACACTAGTTGACTTGACAACAACCAAATACAGCATAATAACCACGAAAAAAACAATAAAACCTACACAATCAAACAAGCGAACTTTATTCAAGGCGATAATGTAAAATTGTCGCTAATTAAAAATAAAAGGGTACAGAAAATTCCGTCTGTCAACTTTTTCTATGAAAAACTTCTGCGCAACATTTCGGCGCACTTTTAGTAATAAATTTAGTAGAAAATAGAACAAGATCTAATTAATTAATGACTTTTTTTAGTACTAAATTTAGTACTAAATTTGCTGTTTGCAACGTGAATTTTTTTAGTACTTAAAAATGCATTAATTTAGTTCTAAATTTAGTACTTAATTTAGTATCGTGACATACAGCCTTAACGCACTTTTCTCTCACGCTCATGGAGAAACGATTATTACTCACGTTCAGGCTTCGCAACGAAATGGAGACAGGCGTAACAAAAAAGTTACAAAAAATGAGCCTTCCCTTCCTCCATGGGTTCAGTACAAGCTACAAAAGGGAGACTAGCGTAACAAAAAAGTTACGAAAAACCAGCTGGGTCTGAATCTGTACCGCTACTACGGAATTTATGGAAATTCAAGCTAGCGGATCCGCTGTTTTTTCGGACCTGGGCAAAGCTACAAATTCGCAAATAGCGTAACAAAAAAGCTACAAAAAACCCGCCAGGTCTTGAATGGTGCCGCCACAGAGTGCCCGCTAGCTTGATAGAGCCATTAGAATAGGGCTCAGACGCGTCGTGCGGGGTTTCTAAACGCACTCCGAATGCGTTTAGAAACCCCGCACGGCGCGTCTGACCACATGCATTAAAATAGGGTCCAGACGCGCCGTGCGGGGTTTCTAAACGCACTCCAGCCATTGCGTTCGGTCTGCCAAGTTCCTTTAACACTTTTAACTCCAAACGACCCTTTTATCGTTCGGTTTAGTCCGATTAGTGACAGTTTCACACGCTTAAATGTCATTTAAAAGCACCCTAAAATTTGTCCCGCCAGCCCCTGTCTATCCGAACTCGCCTATCATCAGCATGTCAGCTGTCAGCTGCCTTCTGTCTTATGTCCAAGAAAGAAAAAGGAAGTGAAGGTGAAAAGAAATTGATTTTCCAGAATATTCTGGTAATAAGTTTCTAGAAAACGGAAAACAGTTTCGTTAATAGTCGATACGTTATCACAATCACAAACTATTTTTCGAAGTTGTAGAAAGCACTACTGCCATTTTCAGGTGACAAATGTTATAAATTATAATTTGTTAGTTTATATCCTTAACCTCAATCAGTCTTCAAATTTGTTGATAATTTTCGCTTCTCCACGTGTTATAATGACATAATAATATGGTATGCTTGATTTTTTTTATAGGTACCTAATACTGTCTGTGATTTTTATATTTTTTCCTAAATAAAATGGCAAAGTGGGGTGAGGGTGATCCCAGATGGATTGTTGAAGAAAGACCCGATGCCACAAACGTGAATAACTGGCATTGGACAGAGAAAAACGCTGGCCCATGGTCCCAAGAGAGGATTAAAGAACTCTTTCAAGACCAAAAAGTTGATTCAGATGAAGCCGAACTTACTATTAAAGAAGTAGAAAAAGTAGATGGCGAAGCTTCAGCTAGCAATAGGAAAGGAAAGTTAATTTTTTTTTATGAATGGGACCTTGTTCTTAAATGGGAGGGAAAATTGAAGAATGGAACGGATAGGAAGTTTAACGGAAAAATTAAAGTTCCAAATTTGTCAGAAGAAAATGATGTCTCAGAGTTAGATGTAAGTAATGAAAGTCAGGAATTAAAGTAGGATAGTCCGGAATGATTTTTTTATTTTTATGTTAAACAATTACTTTCTAATTGAATAAAGATAGGTATCCAATTGCTCTAAAATGGTTATCTTAAATATTAAAAAATGATAATCAAAATCAATGACACATAAATTGGGTAAGGTGAATAAAATTTAAGCATTTGCTTTTACTTGAAAATTGGTAACAAATTGTGCTTTTTTTTCCAATAAACACAATTTTTAGCTAGAATTGGGGAATACGAATTATTTAATAAAGACAGAACTTTAATTAAGGTCCAGAAATTTTATTTTTTTTAAAAATAAGCATGATTTGTTATTAATTTTTAAGTAAAAGCAATTAGATACCTAATTATTATTCACTCTATCAATTGTGTGGCAACCTGTTTTGACACAAAGGCCATCATCAGGCCTTAAAGTTGAGAAAACTGATAACTATAAAGATCTTTATACCTTTCTTCATAGCAGCAGTTATATAACATGTTTGTCAGTCTTTGCAGGTTTGTAAGTTTTTTACTTAACACAACATGTTTTTTTTTTTCAGTTTTGTTTTTATTCCTGATGATGACCTTTCTATCAAAACTGATTGCTATGTAATTTATTTAATCAAAGATTTTTGTATGTGGGATTGATTTGGAGTAGTATATCTTAATACTTCCTAATTCATTGATAATCACATACACTTACCTATTAGAATAATTAGCCCACACATTAGGTGGCTCTATAGCCAGTCACAAAAAGGTGAAAAGTACAGGTGCAGTGATAGTAGGTATGTTTATTTTAAAATTCATAAGGACAGTAAGATCAAATAGAATATCTATATTTCTCACTACTTCATGTTGAGTTTATTTAAACTATTCCTGGGTGTGTATTAACCCTTCATCAGAGGCCTATGCTTATGAACAGTGCTTAGTCGAAATGGGTTTGTCTGAGTACTAAATGCCCGATTTTTTAACTGTTAAAATAATGTTTAACTCTCATTCTCTCCATAATTCACCCCCTTACGAGTGAATTTTAACCCCAAAAGCTGAGCTTGTCTGGGGAAAGGGACGGCTATTATTATTTGCCGTGGCGCTCCGGAGTGACTTAAAGATGATTGATGGTGCCATTTGACTTACAGGTGAGGAAAACCCCACCCACTATCATCGAAAACGGTAACGCATGGTGATTTTTAATAATCTGGATGTCATATCAACAGAAATTTCGGCTAATATGGCATCCATCAAATCCTATAGAGAATCATGCAAATTCACATGGTCTTCCGTAGGATTAGAAACCGTGTCTCGTTTATCAGAAAAATGGCTCGCAAATGAATGCGACGCCGTAGACACCTTCGCTAACGTAGTCGATATGCAGGAGATTATTATTCATGTTGGGTCGATTAGCCATAAACAGGGGTACCTGATACAAATAACTATTTGCAATGCAATAAAAATAATACTGTCCTTAGAATTCTAAAGATGCATCTGAGATGTCATAGAACTACAATGTCGAAACAATAATAGTTAAAAAAACTGAAAAATAATACATCATAATATGTGACTAAGGATTAAACAACGCTGATGGGGTTTTACTGGTTTTTGTACTTGTAAAATAATATAACCTCATTTTTATTAGTGTCAAAACCAGTATGTTCCAGTTATTGTCAAACCCTGTCAATAACTAACGAGCAACTACTGATACACAGTGTTGTTATACTGTTTAAAAAATTCGCAAGCAACCTTTTAAATATGAGATCTATTGTCGTTTTGGTTCCGATCATTAACATGGTATCAATTATTGGTACAATTATCAATAACTGGAACACGTTTTTTGTTACAGTTATGGCACATGCAAAAAATAAAACAAAGGAGTTGTGAACTTACTGTTTATTTTAATTTAGTGTATTAAATTTATTTAGGTACACTATAGTAGTTTGTGCAACAAGAGTGGATATGATGGCCATATCGCACGAAATCGTCTGAGTGCGATGTGAACAATCCACTCGAGTTGTACAGTATATTTTTTCTACGACCCACTAACGAAAATTTACAAATAAAATTATTTTAGGTTATTAAGACAGAATAAATAATTTTAAAATATGACTTTTAATAATTTTTAAAATAAAATAAACTAAAAAAAAAAAAGAAAAAAATTTCATTTCATTTTTCCCCATCCGAGAATCGAACTCGAGTCTTCCGTGTGGAAGGCAAGAACGCTAAACACAGGACCACCTATTCTTTTATTTTTGTTGCTTTAATACTCATAATTAAATTGACTTTATATAGTTTTATTTAAATTAACAAATTATTTATAATTATAGATGAAATAAAAACAAATGCTATTATTTATCGATTCTACACAAGAATAACCCATTTTAATGCATGTTTAATCTTAATAACTAAAAAATATACTGACAATTAGTTTAACAGAATTGTCACTTATTTAAAATTTTAAAAATAATAGCAGTCAGTTGATCAAAATAGGAACGGTGATTGGTGGATTTCATTTTTTTGCAGTGTTCTGACTACCTAAAATGAATATGAAATATATTCGTTCAGTTGAAGGCAAAAGCATACTTTTTCATTTTGTAATCTGTGCGTAGATAAGCTAATATCCATGTGGGTGTAGTTTGTGTCAATAATTTGTGTGTAATTTATTGGTACATGAAAAAAAAGCAAGTGTCAATGACTAATGCTTTAAAGGACTCTTTCCAAATACCTATTTCAGGAAAAATAAAGTTATTAAAACTAAAACTACCTCACCAATGAATAAACTAACTATAACTTACTAAGAAAAGAGAACTAGATTATATGCTTAAAAAAGTTTCTGAAAAGTAATGATAGTAATTACTTGATATGGCTCCATTACAAAACAGTGCAAAACAAAATAATGCTAGACAGAATATTGCAAGGACAAAATAGGGCAAACGAACAAAATACGTAATATTGTTCAGACCACGCCCCCCCCCCCCCCTTCTCTTCTCTCTCACGTGCACGTATGCACACCCACGCACGCATTTGAGAATCCTATCCGTGGCTTATTTGCGCAGAGAAAAATACATGAGCGACTGATATAAAGTGAGACAAATTAACCACTGATCAAGTTAGCCCTTAGTCAAAAAAGAGTATTCTAATTAAAATAAAAAACTTAACCAACTTACTTAACCTGTGCGACCTGGAAACATCGCGAGTAGGGGCTCCAGGCTGGCCGCACAGGTTAGGTAACTTGGTTGTTTTTTTATTTTTCTCATTTTATTTATATATTTTTTCCGAAGCAATCCGCGATGGCTCCAGGCCGCCCAGGTTATGTACATTAGTTTATTTATGGGAAAACCCCATTTTACAATAAAAAATATATGAAAAATATGTGTTATATGCACAAATACAAAATAAAAAAAAAAACATCAAAAATTGTATCATGTAAAACATTTGATTAAAACATTTAATTAACAAGGCAGACAATAACAGTACTTTCAAGTGTCATTAAGAAAGTGGTTAGCAATACTTCTTTTAAATGAAGGATATGACGAACCAAAAAAATCCAAGTCTATTTCTATACTGTTAGCACTCCTAACCAATCGTGTTGATGGACTATAAAAGCCGTAATTTTGTCTATGGTGTCTATTAAAAAAAGTTTCATTAGCTCTGGTTGCACTATTAATTTTAAGACCAATTTTTAATAAAATATCAGGAGAATATATTGACCCAGACAAAAGTTTAAATAGGAAGCATAGATCTAATTAAGTTCTCCGGCTCTGCAAAGTTGTGATCTCTAATCTGGAACATAGGTTACCATAATCGTAATTATTTATACGCACTCCTAATTTATGTGCTGAGCATCTCAGAAACTTATGTTAAACCGTTTCAAGTCTATTAATGTGAATGCAATAATAAGAGTTCCAGACAACAGCTGCATATTCCATATTAGAACGAACAAGAGTGCAGTAAAGAATTTTAAAAGAATTTATTGAGAGACCATTAGAGATTCTTTGTATATAACCCAACAACTTTCTGGCTTTTAATGATATCATTGTAATATGTTCTGAAAAAGTAAGTTTTTCATCAAACATTACGCCAAGGTCCTTTATTTGGGTCACCAATTCAAGATCTAATGAATTGATACAATAAGTATAGTCTATAATAGTATGGCACCTATTAAACTTAATATAAAAACATTTACTTAAATTCAAATTCATACAATTTGCATTACACCACAATGCTAGGTTGTTAATATCAGTCTGTAAATCAAAACAATCGGATATACTTTCAACAATTTTAAAGATTTTTAAATCATCTGCAAAAAGTAGGAACTGATACTTTTTATACAACATGCAATGTCATTTACAAATATATTAAAAAGAAGGGGACCGCAATGGGATCCTTGAGGAACACCAGACAATACTTCAATCAAATAAGAAATGTGATTCCCAATTTTGACTCACTGATACCTACCAATTAAAAAACTAGATAGCCAATTTAAAAGTTTACTATTGATACCATATGAGCTCAACTTGGCGATCAACAATTCATGGTTAACTCTATCGAATGCGTTTGAGAAGTCAGTATAGACAGAATGTACTTGATACCCCCTTCAAAAGTACTCAATATTTAATTTTGATAACAAGGCAGTTACTGTAGATTTTCCTTGTGAAAAACCTTGTTGTTGATCAATTATTAGCCCTTTACATTCCCAAGACAAATATTCTGTAATGAGTGAATCGAACATTTTTGGAATGTTAGATTGCAAACATATTCCTCTGTAATTTTTAATGTCACGATTACATCCCGATTTATAAATTGGTCTTATAAAACTGTATTACCAAAAATCCGGAAATACTCCTGAATCAAGTGAAATATTGTAAATAATAGAAATAGGAGTACTAACAGTACAGACACACCTCTTTAAAAAGTAAGATGGAACTCCATCTGGACCACAAGAGAAACTGTCTTTTAATTGAGAAATTTTAGAAGAAACTTCACTCAAGGTCACTTTTACATTATTTACATTAATGGTTTTCTCATAGTTTAATAAAGATACATTACAATCAGTCTTGACATAAACTGTAGATAAATTATCATCAAATAAATTTACAGTATCAGTTAGTTACCTTTTTTTTTATTTTAAATTATTCACGCTCTTTTTGTCATGGAGCCACTTAATATATATTGGTGTCTAATAGTATCAATTATTGGTGCAGTTACCTTACAAATTCAAAACTAGTCAAAAATTTATTTTGTATTGGATCATAGTATTAAAAAAAACATATTGTTCAGTAGGTATGGAATTGGAGAAAAAGTATATTAAATGTTTAACACTAAAATTATATATAAAATTAAACTTAATTTATATAAAAAACAATTGTATATTTAAAAAAAAAATCTTCACCCCGCTAAAGTCCAATGACGTTCTAATTTCGGCAGTTCCTTAAATTATCTTAAAAATTCCATATTTTTTTTATTCTAATATTTTCTTTTAACCTGGGCGATATTTAAATAATATTGAATTCAATGTAATATATTTTAATTAGATTAATATATTTATTAGTAAATATAAAATAACTTGCTGACCCGATCCCGCTTCGCTGTACTTTCTCAAACCACAGTTATTAAAAGTGAATAACAATTTTCATCATTCGAGAGATACTTTTTCATGCGATACCTGGCAATTTATTTATTAATTTAATTTTTATTAGGTACTTTTTAATTTTTTTATTTTTATTAATTTTTGTTACCTTTTATTAATTTCTATTAATTTTTATTCATTATTATTAATCTTTATATATATAAAAATTTCGTTCGCGATAAACTCCGAAACTACTGAACGGATTTTGATAAGATTGTGTAACCATTTATAATATGGTCCAACTTAAAAGATAGAATAGTTTTTATTCAATATTTATTATTGTAAATTAAATGTTTATTATACGACATTAGTGTGTATTTATCGGTTAGTTCTATAAATTCATAATAGATGGCGGTTTAGCATCTAAGTTGCACAGGTATCCGGCAGATGGCGTCGTGTTTATATTTCTAGATAAGACAATCTTCGAGAATTAACGTGCGCTCGCAAGCGCGTGGTTGAATATAGAATTTACATATATTTTCATGATGTATTTGACCAATAATATCACGAACATTTTGGGTTCACATATTTTTCATCTGAATTACAGTATTTGTTTGATTCCAAATCATTTTCGTTTATGTTCTCAACATAATCATACGTCATTTTCGTTCACATTCTCAACATAATCATACTATAACAATTTTTCGTGAATCATTTTCATAATTATACTTTGTATTGTGTTATTATTGTGCAGTGTTCAGTTTGAATATTTTCAATATTATAAATAATAAAATAAAATTTTATTTATTACTGTTTTTCTCTACTAATTTTCATACTACCTCGAAAACATGTAAGCAATGTTACACTACACCCTGCAGTGGCCTGCGGCCGTTATAGGAAACGTACAAATATGAACAGAAGTGCAATGTCACCCATCACACTATAGTGTGCTGGGGTCGTTATAAGTAAAAGTACAATATATATTTAATTTATCCTCTAAACATTTATAGAGGTGCTAAGTCACTGATTACAAACTATAATTTAATATAAGATTAATAAAATGTAAATTCAGAAAGTATATGTTGGTTTGTGCTTAATTTTAACATTTCGATACTTTACCTATTACTTTTAAATTTTGGCGAAACGTTTTATTTTCAATCTCATATGAATGAATCTATTTCAAATTTTTTTAGAAAATATTAATTTGATTGTACCAAAGAATTAGTAAAAAATTGATTCAATGTATTATAGTTACTGAGCCACAGCAACGCGTGGCTGGGTCAGCTAGTTTTTAATTATTTTTAATAATTTTTATTTATTTTTAGTTATTTATAAATAATTTATTTTTTACAATACTCCCCATTTCACCCTCCTTAAAATGTGTAAATCCAAAAATCTTGAAATACGTCATTATTTAATTATGATGAGTAGCTACAATTCTGATTTTCAAGTTTCTACTTAAAAAAAAAATCGATACTCCCCATACAAACTTTCACCCCCCCCCCTTCACCCCTTAAAATATGAAAATCCAAAAACCTTTAAACATGTCATTATTTATTTGTGATAAGTAGCTATAAATTCTAATTTTCGAGTTATTACCTTTACAAAAATCGATGCTTTGATACAAACTTTTAACCCCTGTTTCCCCCACTTAAATTGTGAAAATCCAAAAACCCCGAAACACGTCATTATTTATTTATGCTAAGTAGCTGTATTTCAAATTTTCATGTTTCATTACCAATATGCAAAAATCATGTTTGATCCATTGCTCTGTGAAAACAAAACAAATTTATCCTACGGGAACCGTAGATTTTTCCGAGATAAACAGTAGCCTATGTGTTATTTCAGACTATAATCTATCTTTGTGCCAAATTTGATACAAGATCCATTCAGCCGTTCTTGCGTGATTGAGCAATAAACATCCATAAATCCAAACTTTCGCATTTATATATGTATATTAGTAGGACTAGCTGACCCGATCCCGCTACGCTGGAATTTCTCAAATCTCTTATTAAATGTGACCAACTCGAAAGAAATTTGTTCATGCGTTACCTGGCATATTTTTTTTTTTAATTTTATTATTTTTTTTATTTTTTCAATTTTTTCAATTTTTAATAATTTTTATTTATTTTTAATAATTTCTTTACCTTTATTTAATTTATTTTTATTCATTATTTATTTTTATTCATTATTTATTTTTATTCATTTTTATTTATTATTTAGTTTTACGGCATTCCCCTTTTCCCCCTCCTTAAGATGTGAAAATCCGGGATAAAATGTACCCTATGTGCTATTTCAGACTATAATCTATATTTGTGCCAAATTTAATCTAGATCCGTTCAGCCGTTCTTGCATTATTAAGCAACAAATATCTATCCAAACTTTCGCGTTTATACAGGGTGTCTCGAAATTATACGATCATATTTTAACAGCGTAATCTACATACTAAAATAGAAGTAAAAATTCATATAAACATAGGTCCGAAAACATTTCGTTTTCGAGATACAGAGTGTTACATAAGTGAAGTCCTGATGGCTCATTCTTGTAAATATTTTCTAAAATTTCTTTAGTCACCTGTTTTCCAAAGTTAAAAAAAAAATTCTGATTCCACAATGCACTATGTAACATTGATCTAAATATCTTCACTTACAACAAAATAAATTTAGTAATAATGCATTCTTTTTAAAATTAAGTTAGTTTTTTATTTAGTTAAGATGTTATGTAGTGCATTGCATTACTATTAAAACTAGCTTTCAAATGTAAGTTTTTTTTTACCCCGCTAGAGGGCGGAAAAATGAAAAGTAATACAATCAACAATCATTAAATTAAATTTTCAATGGAGTCCCATATGACCTCTGTTGCTATTAAAAAAAAAATAAAGAATTATATCAGGGGTGACTTCTCCAGCAATCTTAAATATGGCACAATATCGAATGTTAATTAGCATATTTATTGTATTTTTTTTTTTTGAGTTATTTCGACTGGCTGATTTTGAAATGAAAACACTATATGCAGAAAGAAATATTGGACATTAAACTGTATTATACTGAATGCATTACACAACAGTAAACAAGTTGATTACCTTTCAAAAATAAAGCAATAGGACAAATTGGTCCCATTTTTTTAATAGTTAACCAAAAAATGAAACAACTAACAACGATCACTAAAATTTTTCAGGGTAATTCTATACTTTATATTTTCAAGTCTACAAAATCGCTGAGAATAATATAATTATATAGATTTGGAAGGCTAGATATGTTAAATCTAATCGCAAATGAATTTTTTAGGCGACTGCCCTAAAAATAAACTTTTTACAGACACGCTAGTATCACTTTTTTGTACTTATCTGACAAACTCACTTTATGGCCGCTTTTTTCTTATTTCACGGCCGCATTTTTCTAAATTCTTAGCACCATTTACTGTTCATGACCGCTACACTTCTTGATTAATGTAGTTAATTAAAGTACTGTTAATTTTTCGTGATTTCAGATACAAATTTCTGTAAAAGACGAAGATGAGGAAGGTCTAAAGTTAAAGCAAATTATGCATAAAACCGGGAAAGACCTCGTTCGTTCCCAACTAGCAAAATACATCTCGGGTCTTAAGGAAGAATTCTCCAAAGGTAAAACCTTAATCAGTTGATCTGTGGGTTGCATTGTAATCTAAAATTTATTTTCTAAGGTATGATCCTCCCAAAAAAGGGCGAAACGAAAGCGGACAGCGTTAAAACATTGACAAGCGGTTTTAATAAAGCGAAAATCAACATGGAACCCATCTTTAATAAGGAGAATAAACAGACAGGCTTGAAAATCGATACTAAGACATTTAAACAAACTCAAAAATTCCAGTGCACGGCGCAGGTAATTTTTCTTTTTGCCCATATTTAAAAGATATCTATTCCTCTCAAGAAACGGCGTCGTTTTGTAGGAATTCTACGACGCTATGACTCGAATAGAAATGGTGACTGCCTTTACGAGGGGTCACGTGAAATTGGATCCAGTGAAAGGTGGTAGATTCGAATTGTTTGGTGGAAATATAAGCGGAAAATTTGATGAGCTGGTACCCGGTAAGAAAATCGTGAAGCAGTGGAGGTACAAGCAGTGGCCGGAGGGACATTTTTCTACTGTTACTATACGAATTGAGCAAAAGGTAAAGTTGTTTTTAGTTAATTTGCTAACGTCAAATCTCTGCTCTATTATTTATTGAAGCTGAAATGGTATACTGGAACACGTGTTAATAGTATTATTGTCGTTTTTAGAATGACCATACGGAAGTGATCTTAGAACAAGTAGGTGTACCCAGCGCCGAGCTGGATGTCACCAAAGACAACTGGCAAAGGTACTATTGGGACTCAATGAAGCAAGCATTTGGCTTTGGAGTGTTCTTTACATAAAATAACTTTTTCATTGAAAACTTAAAAATCGCATTTTAGAACCAGGCATCTTTGAATTCTTTGTTTTCCAAAAATAAATGGAATTTTGATCATCCCTACCAATTGCTACCAAATATCTCAAAAATCAAAACGAATTGAAAAAGTTATGAGGACAAATAATAAGTGAAACTCAAAATTACTGTCCCATGATTCTCTTTAACTCATTTTTCTAAAGGAATGGATTTTGTTTTATGTATACAGGGTGTTAGTTTTAATATTTCCATTATTTAGACCAAGATGACTTCTTGGGAACTGTAATGAATTATATTTAATTTGAAAATTAAAAAATGAGTAGAATATCTGAAATATTTAATTCTGGTGTCATCTGATCAATAAATCCGTTTATTTTTCGAAAAATGAACGATTTTCCAATTTGTAGATATTTTTTTACGATACCCGTGTTTGGAAAACTTTAACAATTATGCTGGACATAGTTTTTTTTATATCGTATAAGTTATTTATTAAAACGCTTTTTGACGGTTTTAAATATTTGTAATTAAATAAATGGAATTGTTTTCCAGCTCCGTGTCACGTGATCTTTTTTAAGTCCGAAATATTTCAATAAAACAATTTAATGTTATTTATGTGTTTTTTTTTCAAGCAAAAACCTGATATAATAAAGGATGTTGCCGAGATTGGGCACTTGCATGAAAAATTGAATATTTTTATGACAAATAACACTTAAAAAAAAAAGTGTAAATCGGCAACATGGCGAACAGTAACGAACGAAAATAAGGACATCTGTCATTGATAAGTTCAATGAGTAGTAACAAATTACAAGAATGACGTAAGAGCTGGGCAGTACTCGAGTAAATTGGTACTCGTAAGTACTCTAATCCTGATGAGACTCATACTCGAAAAATTTCTGGTACTTTACATTTTAGAGTACTCAGTACTTCTGATTCCTACAGTACCGATGTGCGCATATATATTATAATGGTTCCACCCCGGAAACCATACCAATGTCTTACAGCTTTTAGGGTTGTGACCCCCTTTGTCTTTCTACAAACATTTTAAAAAAATAACTAAACATACTACTCGATAAATTTTGAATTTAAAATATTCTAAATCTTCCAGTTCCCTTCTCTTTGTCCCGGTTCTTCCCCCTTTTAGTTTTACTCTACTTTCTCCTTCTACTACTTCTGCTGAACCCTCTTGCTAAGTTCTGCTTCCTGATATTCTTATCTTCAATTTAAATAAAACTTGCTTTGTCTTTCTTTTTTTATTATTATATCTACGATATAAAATATTCAACTTTAATGTCTATCTTCAATATATTTTCTGATTTTTTTAAATTCCCCATCTAACAATCTTCCCCAAATATTACATTAATTTTCAAAATCCCATTACCATCGCGTCACAAAATATAAGAAAACTAGCTATTGCCCGCGACTTTGCTCGCATGTAGTCGTGTTAATATAAAAAAATACATGACTTCCTTTTTTATTAATTTTTATTAGTTTTATTGATTTTCATTAATTTTTACTAATTTTTATTAATTTTTATTCATTTTTATTAATTTTTGTTAAATTTATTAATTTTAAAATTTTTTTTATTTTTATTAATTTAGATTAAACTTTTATTATATTTATAATAATTTTTATTAAGTTTTATTAATTTTTATTAATTTCTATTAGGTTTTATTAATTTTTGTTAATTTTTATTAATTTTAAAATGTTTTTATTAATTTTTATAAATTTTTATTAACTTTTATTAATGTTTATTAATTTTTATTACTTTTTATTAATTTTTAATAATTTTTAATAATTTTTAAAAATGTTTAATAATTTTGAAACATGAAACACTTAATTATTTATTTATGATGAGAACCTATAATTCCAATTTTCAAGTTCCTACCTTTAAAAAAATTGATATTTCCAAATAAACTTTCACCCCCCGGTTTCCCCCCCTTAAAATGTGAAAATCCAAAAACTCTAAAATACTTTATTAATAATTTGTACTCATTAGCTGTAATTCCAATTTTCATGTTTCTAACTTCAAGGAGAACAAAAAAGTTATACTCTTATACAAACTTTTACCCCCGTTTTCCCCCCCTCAAGATGTAAAAATATAAAAACCCTAAAACACATTATTATTAATTTGTACTCAGTAGCTGCAATTCCAATTTTCATGTTTTTAACTTTAAAGAGAACCAAAAACATGGACACTCCCAAATAAATTTTCACCCCCCATTTCCCCCCCCCCCCCTAAAATGGGAAAATCCAAAAACTCTTAAACACTAAACACGTCATTAATAATTTGTAGTCAGTAGCTGCAATTCCAATTTTCATGTTTCTAACTTCATAGAGAACAAAAAAAATCGATAGTCCCTTACAAACTTTCACCCCCCGTTTTCCCCCCTTAAAATGTAAAAAATCCAAAAACCCTGAAACACGTCATTTTTTATTTTTGCTCAGCAGCTGTAATTTAAATTTTCATGTTTCTAACTTTAAAGAACAAAGAGTCATTAAAAGCTCCCTCCCCCCTTTATATTTAAAATTTCCAAAAATCCTTTCTTAGCGGATGCTTACGTTATAAAATAAACCCATGTTCCAAATTTCAGCTTTCTAGGCCTAGTAGTTTTGGCTGTACGCTGATAGGTCAGTCAGTCAGGACAAACAATTTTATATACAGGGTGGCTCACGCTCAACGGGACGGAGCTTTATGGGAAAACGACCAAAGATATAAAAAATTCGTTTGGGAGGAATACGTAGGTTACAGACGGCTACAATTTAAAATTTGTTAGATGTATACAGGATGTCCCACATAAGAAAAAAAAATTAGTTCATTAAAAATTATTCAAACAAGAGTAAACAATTAATTTCTGGGAGACTTTTTTTCCTTAAAAATTCAAATAAATCGAAAACTAATAATAATAGTAATAGGGAACCTTTAGTTAACTGACATTATTTTTGATGTAGTTTTTAATTCTAAAATAAAAAACAGGGTGTTCCATTAAAAATAATATAACTTTGTATATTTTCTCTTATGTGGGACATCCTGTATACATCTAAAAAAATTTAAATTGTAGCCGTCTGTAACCTACGTATTCCTCCCAAACGAATTTTTTATATCTTTGGTCGTTTTTCCATAAAGCTCCGTCCCGTTGAGCGTGAGCCACCCTGTATATATAGATATGTCAATTGAGAGAATCATGACAAAATACATGTGTATATACATTTTAAAATATATAACTGTTCTTTTGAGTATTCTCTATCTGTATCTCTGCCCCTACCTAATACCATTATTACTTTACTCTGACATTAAAAGGGAAAAGTTGAGCGTACACTGTAATGGTAAGTGCTAACTTTTATCTAAGGTGCTAACTAATTTATAGAAGATAAGTTTTTTTTGTGTCATCGGCTTCAACTGCTAAGGTTATTTAGCCCCGTGTTCTGTGTATCGTCCAGTAAATGAAGGGCTGAAAAGATCGAAAGCTGTAAAAAAATCGCTGATGATTTCCCACGTAGCTTATCGCAGGTGTTTTTAAATGAGAAAATCCTTAACGCGTTCTTGGTACCGGAAGGGGCTGAAAATGGTCCCCTAAACTCTTAAAAACGGGTTTCCCGCTAATATCTGGCTAAATATGCCAATTAGAGAATTTTTGTTCAGACAAAAAATGAAGATCAGCTCATTCTCTACAAAAATGATCCCTACCAATTTTTTCGCAATGCCAATATTTTTTGCAAAATCAGACTTCGAAAAATCCATAATTTTCAAATTGAATAGATATGGTAGTTTCTTGCCGAATTTCCGCTCGATGGGGTTGGAAATGCATTGATCTTCATCTTTTGGACTGTAGAGACCAATTGCAGATAACGCCAGCACCTTTGCTCTTCTCGCTAAATTATGGAGTCCGTAAATGAAAATCTCGGAAATAATCGATTATTCGACAATTACTGGCGGATTTCACCTATTTTTATTCTGCAAAGTAGCGCTTGGGCTCTTAATTGTATTAGCGAATGTTCTGTGCAATTTGAGTTGCAAATTTACCAGAAAATTGCAAAAAAAATTCCTTGCGCCAAGGTCTTGAATTCCGTTGTTTTGGCTAAAAGCAAATAACTTTTAGAGCGTGTTGAATATTCACCATACAACCATTCTAAACATTTATCGCATTTCTGCAAACTTTTTCGGAATAATATGGGTGCAGGATTTCGGAAAAAATACGCAAGTCTTTGAAAAATTACATTTATTTGGAAGAATTGGTTGGATATAAAACATACATAACAACCTTTAGGGTGTGGTCAACCACTCCAAGTCATCAGAATCATATTCTTCATCGTCAACGGTATTCTCGTCGCCTACTCCCTCTTGTCCATTTCTACCCTTCCCCCTGTCGTCCTTTCAACAACACCAAGAGCTACCAAAAAATAGATGATCCAACCGTTAGAACAATTACACCAAGTTTTTAAAGTTGAGGCAAAATAAAACAAACCTTATTTTCTGCTTCCAACAAAAAAATCTATGAATATTCTTTCTTGCAGACAAGAATAACATGGAAATTTCTCACTTTAAACATTCCTTCTTTTTTTATAACTGAATTAATTTAATGAAAAATATTTATTTTATTTTAAATAATGAAAAAAATATCAGTACATCAATAATCCGGTCAAGCCGACGACTCCAAAACAGAGATTGTATCGCCGCGTGGGTACACGAGGTTAGGTTATATACAATATCATGGATCTCAGAGGGGGAGCGTAAAAATGAAGTATATAATTGTAACAACCTTTTTAGAACCAAGAAAGGATATGGGGATTGACTTATATCAATGGAAAGGTCAGAATTCAAGCTTTACTTTGATCTAGTTATTAATCCTCAAAAAATAAAGAGCGGGGAATAAGAAATGGTTAAACAAAAAAAGGCCGGTTTTCACTCGTGTGATCAATTTTCCTCATTTCTTGAAAATTATTAGACTATTAAAAATAAAAAAATATATACGAAAAGTAGACCATCTAAGCTTTAAAATGTGCATTGGAAATCAATATAACGGATCATAAGATTATAATTCGCGCTTGTTCCGAAGATTTAGCACAGATAAAGTAAGTATCAAAGAGCCTTCACAAAATATTAAACGATATATTAATTACAAAAATTAAAAGCAAGAATTAATTAATGAATCTTGGAATTACCTTTATAATAAAATGAATCCAGATATCATGTGTGAAAACTTTATAGCTAAACTAAAATCTTTTATAAATAAAAATACAAACATACAATAAAAACGAAAGATATTTATAAAAAAAATGGCTGACACAATGTTTGCTAAAAAGTATTAAAAAGAAGCAGACAATGTACAAATATAGCTTAAAACATCCAGAAAATATAGAATTAAAAGAACAATACAATAACTATAATAATCGATTAAATAATATAATTAAAAAAGTCAAGAGAACATATTTTTCTCGACAAATTGAAGTTAATAAAAATACATCTAAAGCAGTTTGGGAATGCGTAAAAGATATTTGCGGTAAACAAAAGCAAAATAAAAACATTGAGGAAATTAAGCTTTTAGACGGAAAAACAGTAAAAAAAAACGGATGAAATTGTAAATCATTTTAATACTTACTTTAGTACAATTGGAGAAAATTTAGCTGACAGAATACCAGATCTAAATAATTATAAAGATAATTTAGATTTTTTGGAAAATACTATGTATCTATTTCCAACAGACACATCGGAGGTCTTAGAAATAATAAATAATCTAAAAAATAAAAAATCTCCAGGTTTGGATGAAATTCGTGCAGATACTTTAAAACAAATTGCTTACGAAATTGTTGAACCATTGACCTTTCTAATAAATAAATGTTTAGATACAGGGTGTTTTCCTAAGATTTTAAAATGTGCTATTTAAAAATGGAAATAAAAATGAATTAGGAAATTATCGACCAATATCGCTATTATCAACTATTTCAAAAATAATTGAAAAAATTTTAAAAATACGCCTTTGCAAATTTCTAAACAAATTTCGTATATTATCCGATCGTCAATTTGGTTTCAGGGAGGGTCGATCAACTGAGGATGCCATTTATAAACTAACATCAACAATTTATAACTCTTTGGATAAAAAAGTACCCATTTTATGTATATTTCTAGATCTCTCCAAAGCCTTCGACACTGTGTGTCATGTGAAAGTATTAGAAAAGTTGCAAAAGTATGGAGTTAGGGGTAAATCATATAACATCTTTGAAAGTTATTTATCAAATAGACAGCAGCTCGTTCAAATTGGAGATACTAGAAGTGATTCACAAACAGTAACTGTTGGAGTTCCTCAGGGAACCGTGTTAGGCCCGATCCTTTTTTCTGTATACATAAATAGCCTTCTCAATTTGGAATCACTTGGCCAAATTTTTAGCTTCGCGGATGATACGGCTGTCATATACACTTCGTCTTCTTGGGATAACCTAAAACAAAAAGTTGAAAGTGACTTTCCAAGAATAGCAAATTGGCTTCAATATAATAAACTTACAATAAACTATACAAAAACAAGCTACTTACCGTTTAGCTCCTATACTAGTGGTCTTCCTTCCATGGGATCTTTAAAAGTAGGCCTAGATATAGAAATCCCTGAATCCTCTTCAGTAAAATATCTTGGAATTCTTATAGATAGGCATATGAGGTGGGATTTACATACCAAGCAACTTATTAAAAAAATAAGAGGATTATTGCCCAAATTCAGGTAATTAAAAGATTTTTTTAAATGTTCATGCTCTAAAAACAATGTATTTCTCTTTGGTACAGTCGTTATTAGTCTATGGTATTATAGGTTGGGGAGGAATACACGATAACTTTCTGAATGATGTTCATGTGGTGCAAAAATGGGTTTTGCGTATTATCTATAACAAAGATATTCAATATTCTAGTAACTCCTTGTACAAGGAAGGAAGTTTTTGATTTAAGACAATTATATATTTTTTAAATTCTTCAATTTATAAAAACAAAAAAAATTGTTTTGACATCACATGAACATCAGTATAATACACGACGAGTAGAATATGTTTATTTTCCTCGTAGTGAAAAATCTATAGGACAACGTACATGCAATTATCTTGCACCAAGAATGTATATTTTAGTCCCAGAAGAGATACGAAATATACCGTCTTATAATGTATTCAAAAAGATCTAAGAAATTGGATTCTTCAAGAAGACCGAGAAGAATTTAGTAATGTTATAAATAATTACCTATCGTAAACTATTATATTCATTATCCATACTTTTAATAACTGCACTGATTTTCCGATTAATTTCTTTAATTTCCTAAAATTTTTAATTTACTCACCCAATAATAGGACTTGTTCTTCTGATTACGACCTATTTCTCGATTATGTCCTCTATCTTGATTATGTCCTCTATCTCGATTATGTCCCCCATCTCGATTATATCCTCTATCTCGATTACGACCTTTCTCTTGAGTGTAACTAATTCCCGATTTTGACCCTTTTCGAGGGAAATGGCACTTCTGAACCAGACTAAAAGGCAAAATTAGAATAAATGACTATTTTTAAATTAATGAAGCAGTCTCTAAATATTGTTGAAAAAACTTTGACCGCTTTTTAAAATATTTTTGGCAAATACAAACTGACTTCAAGTCACATGGAATTGTAGCTACGGGTTTTCCCATTGCGATGAACTTTGAATCATCGAAAAATATCAAAAATAGAACCAGCTGAAATGAGGGGACTTTTGAGTGCCATTATCTCGAAAACTATTGAATTTTAGAAGAAAATTATAAGGGCCATTTTTGTAGATAATGAGCTGATTTTCATTTTTTGTCTAAACAAAAATTCTCTAATTGGCATATTTAGTCAGATATTAGTGGGAAACCCATTTTCCAGGGTTCCATTTTCAGCCCCTTCCGGTACCAAGAACGCGTTAAGGATTTTCTTGTTTAAAAACACCTGCGATGACCTACAAATTACGCTATGTGGGAACTCATCAGCGAATTTTCTACAGGTTTGACCCTTCAGTTACTAGACTATGTAGGCTTTGTTACTGTTTCCCAGTGCCACTTTAGGAACAGCACTGTTAATTAGAACCCAACAGTGAATGGTCGAGTGGGAAATCCTACCAAGGCATCAGAATTAATTTTAAATAATTAAATTAAATGAAAATATGTCGGCCAACAGTGGGATTCGATCCTGGGAACCTTGGATCCACAGGCAGAAACTCTACCACTGAGCCACCCACCCCCTGAAAAGATAAGTTTTTATTTGTAACTAGGGTTGCTATCTTTTTGAAAAGTGAATAAAGGACTACGATGCTGACAGGGGCTCCGGTATATAAAAAGTCATCATCCTTCTACTGAACTTCTAAGAAAAAAAGTCAGCTTATATATTTTTGTACAAACCATATCGCTTCCAAAGATATGTGCCGTAAAAAAGGACATTTTAAGCTTTAAAAGTCACAAGGACATTTTGTTTCAACCCTATTTGTAACTTACTAATTAATTCATTTTTTCTAAACTTGAGTCACTGACTAGAATTATGTAAAATACACATTACTCGATTTTTCGCGAGTACTTTCCAAAATTTGCGAAACTACTCATTTGCTTTGAGTATTATTCATATACGTATTCATACTCGGATACTAATGAGTACTTTGTGAGATATTTGGAGGATTTTTTTTAGAAAGGGTCAATTTTGGCATTCATTTGTGTACACATTCGCCTTTTAATCAACCTTACAAATAAAATAAAAATCATCAATAAATCTATAACTTTATTGTTTTACAAAAAAAAATAAGTTACATCAATACAAACACATATACCTTACACAAACTTAAAGCTACAAACAAAAAAACCCGTTTACAATCGAAAACATTTTTTTTCCTTAAAAATTAAAATAATAAAAAATGGTCGATCCGACACTAGCAAAATTATTCCACGACACTCCTTTGAATAATAAAAAAAATTATAATTTGGCACTCGACGTTCTATTTTATAATTAGTCCTTCAGTTACAAATTAACCGATTTTCAACAAAACTTGACACCTATTTAAGAATAACAAATGACAGATATGACAAGTGGCGTTTGACAAATTGTTAAAAAACAACAATAGCTTTGTTCATTAGTTGCACAATAAACGTTTTCAATTAACTATTTTTTAAAGATCACAGCTAAGGCAGTTCTCTAAACAATGAACGATTTACCAAGTAAAACTCTTTAAAATGATCTGAAAAACGAACTCCTATAGGAGATAAAGTCCATTTCTATATACCCTTCCGACTTTCTCTAATAGCTTCTAAACAGCTGTGACAGCTTCTTATCTCATATAACAGTTTCCTATAAACGATTCAGATGGACAGTTGTTTCTATTTTGAAGTTTAGATTTTCTAATGGAGGTTTATATTATAAAATGGTCGATTATGTATTAGAACTGCCATAACCACCCCTTTAACTGCAAGTCTTACTTAAACGATATCAATTTAGATCAATAGGAATAATAATTATTAACAAACGAATTTTAAAAAACTAAATGTTTAAGTACGAGATAATACGAATAAAAAAAAATTAATTGATATCCTTCTTTTTGGGCTTTTTTGGATTACGTGACCTAGATTTTGCCTTGCATAAAGGACATATCGGCGCGTTTCTGTGAATCTGTTGATGGCAACTTAGACAGGACTTCATCGGCGGTGGTTGTTGTCTAAAACACACAAAAGAAAAAAGTTTTGTTACTTAGACTATTTTGACGCAATATAAAAACAGGACATTTTCATTTACGTCCCGAAAGATGAAAATGCAAGATTATGTTTTTTCGATTAAATGAATCATGCTGTTTTACTGATTTTATTTTTAACAAATTATCTCATTTTGTGGTAAATTCTAACGTAAAAGTAGCTGCATTTGGCGAAATCGTCTTATGATTGGCAACCATGCGAACATGTGATATATTATGTCACAGATCATAAAATAAAATGAGAAAGTCAACCAACAAACATTGAAGTTGTGGCAAGTTATTGGCCTTTTAACCCATGTGATGGTGGAGTAACTTGTAATGGTAAAATCGTTATAACACTTTTAAAATTTGTAATTGACTGCCCTTTAACTTTAATATTTTGATGGACCCTGACTGACTTTTTAACTGTTTCCCACATGCAACTGTAATTGGTCCTCATTTGAAATTTGTAATTAACTACTTTTTAACTCTATTCGATGGATCATTGACAGTTTTTTTAGCATTTCTCACAAATAAAAAGAGAATAACAATATAAACTGTTGTATTGTGTTTAGAATGAAGATTTTATCGTGCACGAATTTGGCATATTATTTATAGTTTTTCAGGCCACTCCAATACATAAATTGTTTTTAATTGTATTGAGACAATTATTATACAGTGGCAATTTAAAAACTTACAATTGCTAAATCTCATGAACTAAAGATTATATCAGAGTAAACAGTATGTACCCCATTATGCACACTATTGAGAAGTTTTTTTTTGAGAATGCAGCATATGAGTAAGAATACCCAAAATCTCGATTTTAGCCACCTCTTGAAGGAAAAAAGCGAATTTTATTACTAATTCAAATACACCACATACAATTTTGTTAAATACAAATCTGATGTGTCCAACACATGACTTTGCTATCTAATTATTATAGGCTTTTTCCGGTTATTTTGTACAACCTATTGTAGTACCTCTATAAATTTTTAGAGGATAAACTAAATATATACATTTTCCACACACATCTAACTCGGAAACATTTTTCTATAGATATTCATGAAAACGAAAATACTGAAAAATTTTAATTTAGCACTTTTCTTCCAATTTTTCCATTATGGTCCATTTTAGAAAAATCACGTAAAAACAAAAATTATAGAGATCGATATCGCAAACAACTTATAGTTTAACAATTTTCTTAAAAATCAGAATTTTGTCAATTTCTCGAATACGGACCATTTAAGGAAAATTTTACATATAGCAAAAATTATAGATAATAATATTAGAAGTAACTTTTATTTGAACAATTTTCTTCTCCAAACATAAATAACAGATATATTCCATAAAATATAAAAACGGCCTCCCATAAAGTACCCCCCAGATGTTCCGGCTTTGTCCAAAATTTATTCATTTTACGTCAGGCCGAAATAAAACTTAAGTTTAAAATTTATTCTTTTTTTATTTTATCCATTTTTGAGTTTTATTCAAAATTCGAAATTTACACATTTTCTCAAATATCTCGAATACGGTCCATTTTACAGAAATTATGTATAGGATAAAAATTATAGAGATTTATTACAAACAACTTTTATTTGAACAATTTTTACGAAAAATTATTTTTTTACATTTTGTCAAATCTCTCGAATACGGACCACTTTAGGAAAATTTTGTATAAAACAAAAAATATTGATAATAATATTGTAAGTAACTTTTATTTGAAGAATTTTCTTCTACAAACGTAAATAAGATATATTTCATAAAATATAAAAATGACCACCTATAAAGTACCCTCCCAGATGTTCCGACTCTGCTCAAAATCTAATCAGTTCATTGGACGTCGTAATAAAGCTTAAGTTTAAAATTTGTATCGGTTCATGAGTTATGGTGGATACAGACACACACACAGACATCATCCCGAAAATAGTCAAAACGGATTCAGGGGACCCCAAAACGTAAAAATCCGTCGAAAACTGAAGGTCGAAAAAAATCATGATTCCTATACTTTCCTTATCTGTATACAGATAGGAAAGTAAAAATGAACTTAAACAATTATTAAAATAATATAGAGTAGATACCTTCTAGCATTACATATATAGTAACTTCATTTTTGTTAAAAGTGTATTATGGAAATATTTAGGTTAATGTCATGTGGATATTGCGAATTACTAATAAAATTAGTAACACTTTTTTCCTTCAAGAGAGCGCTAAAATTGAAAACAGGTATTAATATAATGCTGCATTCACCAAAACATTTTTTCCTTTTTATATGTAACACGTGTTTTTTTTTGTGTCATCGGCATCAACTGCTATGGTTATTAGCCTCGTGTTCTGTGTAGGCTTTGTTACTGTTTCCCAGCGCCACTTTAGGAACAGCACTGTTAATTAGAACCCAACAGTGAATGGTCGAGTGGGGAATCCTACCAAGGCATCAGAATTAATTTTAAATAATTAAATTAAATGAAAAAATCCCGCCCAACGGTGGGATTCGAACCTGAGACCTTCCGATCTCAAAGTCATGACTCTAACCACTGAGCCAACCCACCCCCATGTCACACGTGTTACATTTCTTTTAACAGCCCGACATCATTTTCATAAGTGCCTTATGAGCCCTTTTAAGGGAAGTTAATATTAATATAGGAAACTACTTATGCCTGGTAAAGTTAGAGCCAAATGAAGAGAAGTTAATATTATGGGAAACTGGTGGCCACTTGCAAGCCTTTCACTACATATTGCTGGTAAAGTGACGATGGATTTCTGCGCCCATTGTCACAAAAACGAACTTACCAATACTAGACCCCTACCGAAAGGCCACTACTTGAAGTAACATACAACCATTTAAAGGTCGTTAACTTAGAAAATGTTTGTTCGGCAGTTATATAGCACTAACTGAAAATGCACAACATGGGGTAATATATTGCATTCAACTGTCTTAGAGCGGTTGTTAGCAGGTACAAGTAAATCCTGGTCTTTTTATTACGAGTATGTTGCTTTTATAAAAAAATTATAATAACTTATTTAATAAAGGAACATGCATACTAAGTTCCAGTAGTAACACAAAAAGGAGAACATGTACAATGATAAAAAATATCTATAATCATATGGTATGCGCGATTTTTCAACTCAAAGGTTTGGATGTAGTAGAAATGTTTTCTTAATTTACAAAAGTTTCAGTAACTTCAGCTTTTCAAATTTTAAAAGAAAAATTAGGGATTGAATTACAAAAAATCAAGGTAGATAGGAGGTAAAAAGTAGTCTTGAAAGAACATAATGTAATGCGAGCCATTTCATTATTCAGTCATGCTCTAATCCTCCAAGTTCCTGTGTCTTTTGAGGCTCAATTTGTCCGATTATCATACATAAACATAATTAAACCCCTTAAGACCAAAAATATGTGACGACTATAGCGAAGGCGCTTTCGAACGTACGTGATACTGTTTCTAGTTTTGGCAGGAGCATTCTAGATCTTCACCAGAATTTTCAATGTGTATATAAATATTGGTGGAGGAACCGGACCAGTCGGTCGTATAGAAAAAGTTGTGAAGATAAATAGTGAACAATTTAAAGACATTCGAAATATATAAATTAGTATAGTATTGTTTTAAAATAAATAAGTGTTCAAATAAATTATTAACAAATAAACTGTTGTTTAAAATAAACAAACGCTACAATATTATATTCGAAATTAAATTCCAACTTTAAAAGAAATCGGGGCTGACTTACAAAGAGATAATACTATAGCTTGTCATCATCAGAATAACGTGCGACTATAACCTGACGTTGGAATGGCTAAAAACCAAGGTACCAACCTTAGAAACATGGGAGGGAAGGAGCAACACTCGCTCTTGTGAGGATGGACGAGCTCCCCAAAGCCTCTCTCTGGATCCCAGGGGAAGCGCAAGCTAACCTTGACGAGAAGGAGGTTGTGCTCAGGCGACTTGAGAAGCAAAATCCAAACTTACATGTGGCAAAATGGTGCACCTTCCACCATGAAATAAAAAAAGACCCCAAGAGTCATCTCTTCGGCATCGGAGACGAAGACATGGGAACCCTAAAGGCCAAATCAATGAGAATGAGCTATGCGTTCACCTCATTGACTATAAGGCCAAAGGTCGAAAAAGAGGCTGAAGCGGGGCCTAGTGAAGACTCCTTGGTAAAGGACCCTCTTCCCACCCAATTTAAGTCAACAGTGGAGAAAAAATGGCAATCGATAACCTCCAGCAAGAAAACTCCGAAGAGCCACAAGAGATCACCCCCTCCCCGCTTTCGGAGGAAGGGATGGTCGAATAAAAAAACCACCTTGCTGCCCAATTATTAACGGAAGATCGGGAAGCAATAAAAGAGGTAACTATCATACAATGTAACTTGCAGCACAAAAGAGTGGCTACGGCAACATTATGCCGCCGCCTTGATGAGCTGCAAGATACAATAGCACTCGTCCAGGAACACTGGATAATAATAACCAAAATTTTAGGTCTTAAAAATCTAAATGGTTCAATTTTTAGCTTTCCCAGCGACCAACAAGCCATTTACATTCCTAGGAAATACAAAGCCCACTCAATGGCGCACCTTTCCACCTCCGATTTAACTGCGGTTAGGGTGGAATACGCCATCAAAAGGGAAAAGAAATCGTTAATCCTGGCATTTGCATACCTTCCTTCCGATGCAACCAAGCCACCACCCAGTAAAGAAATGGAGGATCTGATTGCATACTGCCTGGAACAGAAGTTTGAGCTGGTAATAGGTTGCGACCCAAACGCTCATCACTTCAGTTGGGGCAGTAAGGATAACAACGCTAGAGGTAAGTCACTTTATGATTATATAATTACCAAAAATATTTGTATTTTAAATAAAGGTACTACACCAACATTTTTAAACTCTCGCAGTAAAACACTAATAGATATCACTTTATCCACAACATTTCGATGTCAGACCACCGCTGGTTAACATTCAAAATAAACTTCATGTTGCCGACTTCCACGCTATCTCGGAACCCTAGGAAGACGGAAGGGCAATCTATGCCCACCTTCTCCAAGTGGCTCGGAGAGAGATGGAGGCCGAAACACCAAACAATAACAATGCTTTGGAGAAGTACTCGAACACTATCCAAAGCACAATAAACAATGCCTATAAGAAATCCTGTCCGAGGAGGCTGGTCCAATTCGCTCCGTGCGAAGTCATGGAAAGGGAAGCAAAAGCGATACTAGCGCTAGCTGCGGATAATTCGTGCATTTTAGGGCGATATTTTGTAATTTTGGAATATCAAATACACGTAGACATTTTACTTTTTTTCAAAAAAGTAGGTAAAAACAATACAATAAGCAACCGAAGTTGATATGTTGAAAATTGTACAAATACTAGCAAAAAAAAACAGTGAAACTTATATAAAAATTTCAGTAGCAAAGTGAAAATTAAATCAAAGAAATAAATGGATAGGTGTACAATAAGAAGAAAAATTACCTTTATTTTTGTAATAATAACAGTAATGCTGGAAATAGTAGACATCAGAAACTTGAAAGGTTTTAAATAAACAATAAATTATCATTTTACGATGTTCTTTAATTTCCCTTTATTCTTAAATGTTCATTCAGCAAGGACTAGATTTTAAGATTCCTGCCTTTGATTATTATATGTGGCTAGAATGCAATTTTGTGACTTACTGATGGGAAACCAGTTTTAATAATTCATTCTATGTTTTCTTTCAAACAAAAATGAAAATATAAATAGCGATCCTTTTTTTTATACATTTTAACTTCACGCTATTATTAAATGGTATTTTTTATTTTGACAGAATATGCTCATTCTTTAATGACAACTTATTAGACTTAGGCAACTTCTCATACATTTTCCAGTAACTACTGTTGCCTGCCTATATTTTATTATTGATTTTTATTGATTATACATAATTTTCTTTAATTTAAGCGATAAAAATATATAATAATAAAAAATTAATATTTTACTTGTTTTACAAATCCATATACTTTTATTAAAACTAACATATATACTTTTTAATTACGAATTCTAATAAAAATTGTATTTGTCAGTATATGCAGAAATAGTCCAATAGTACCAAAACGAATTGGCGCTGCTGTCGCGCACGGAGCGAATACGATCAGACGACTACCGCATGGTGGTGTCACGAAGGTGTCTAGGAAATCCTTTAATAAGGCAAGAACCACAAAACTCAAAGAGGACTGGGATACTTACAAATCTCACCTCAGAGAATACAAAAAAATCGTAAGACAAAAACATAGAGATGCATGGAGATCGTACTGCGAAGAAATCGAAGATTTCCCGCACGCAGCGAGGCTTCAAAAAGCTCCCTCAAAAGATCCACACTGAAGCATTGGTGCGCTAATCAAAGAGGATGGCATGAAAACAGCCCAATAACCTCGAAGATAGCATCAAACGTCTGCTGTCAACACACTTCCCTGACTCGGTCATCATAGACCTGTCCAACTGGGCAGAGGAAGAATACAAAATCCATCTGTCTATGATTGGCAAACTGCCAAACACATTGTAGACGATGAAAAAATTAGATGGACAATATCCAGCTTCTTTCAATTTAAATCGCCATGACCTGACGGTATCTATCTAGACCTACTTCAGTGGGGTCTGGAAGAACTCACACCGCACCTGGTGGGTATATTCAGATCTTCGTTGGCTCTGAGGTATATCCCCAAAATCAAGAGGTAAAAGTGGTATTCATACCCAAACCTGGAAGAATGGATTATGCAGTCCCAAAAACATACCGACCAATTAGTCTAATATCGTTTTCCATGAAGACATTGAAAAGGCTATGCGAAAGGTACATAAGGGATGCGGTGATTACAACAGCACCACTACACCCAAACCAACATGCACACACCCCAGGCAGATCTACTGATTCAGCCCTTCATCTAGTTGCTGGCCGGATAGAAAGATCCCTGGACAATAAGGAGTCCGCCTTGGGTGTTTTCATAGACATAGAAGGTGCTTTTGATAAAACCACCTTCCCAAAGATAATACACTCACTAACCAACAGGAATCGTCCACAAATGGTTAGTGAGTGGATACATAACATGCTCTCAAAGTGAGCAGTAAACATAAGTGTAGAAGATTTGAATATAAGAGGCTTGGTTGCAAGGGGATGTCCACAGGGAGGGATGCTATCACCTCTACTGTGGAATATGGTCCTCGACACCCTCATCAGCCGCCTCAATAATGACAGTCACTACACAATAGCATATGCAGATGACCTGGTCATTCTGCAAACAGGGAATTTTGAGAACATACTCTGCGAAAGAAAGTAGCTCAAAACATTATCGAACAGTGGTGCAAGGACCATTCACTGTCTATCAATCCTAAGAAGACAGAAATGGTCCTTTTCACAAGGAAAAGGATGAAAGTGGAATTAAAACCTCCAGAACTCTTAAACACAAAACTAATCTTTGCAACAGAGGTGAAGTACCTTGGTCTCACCTTTGACAGCAAGTTAACATGGAATTCGCATTTAAAAATAGTATATTATGCAACTAGCATTTAATGATAGCTATTAAGACACGAGTATGAGAATTAACGACACGAGCCTTGGCGAGTGTCATAATGAATAACCTATCCCAAATTACTTTAGATGTAGCTCTTGATTTTTAACATTAATTAGATGAAAAAAATCTTGGAAAGAAACTTTGCAAGTGTTAGAACATACCTTATTATTAGTTCAATTCAATATTTAACCCTTTGAGTGCGCATGTCACACATGTCTGACATCAGACGATTGATTTTTTCATTTATTAGTTCATTTTATACAGATTGTATTTCTTCAGTAGTTACTCTCAAAATTTTAAAAGATTTAGTATGTTCCAATAAAATTTGTTCTAATTCTGCAACGTTCGAAATGTCTTTTCCGTAAGCAACAGCTTTATCAGCAGTCTGCTTTAGTAAACCACCTACGCCATCAGGCGCACCCTTTCCGTGTCCGTATTCACTAAAATTCCAAGTAGCTAAACAGACTAGAATATTTCTCTGGCAATTTTTGCATAAAAAAAAGTTTTTTTTTGTGTCGATATTACCACTCATATAAACATCAAGGATCTTGTAAAGGTGGGCTCAGATGACTGGTGGGTTGTGCTGAAGATTATCAAAAATTGTACAAAAACCGATTGGCTTTCCTTGGTTTCTATAAATAAAGCCTGTGTGTAGTATGATATACTTTTTAGATGCACCTAAGTGCATGGATTGCACTTCTTCTGAGTGTTTCGCAGTATAGTTTTTACTGAAGTCGATGTGTATGAATATTTCTTGCTCTTGTAAATTTTCCTTTAGCAACCGTGTTGCATGAAAATGATGTTTCACATGACCCACATGCTTCATAAATGGCTCTTTAACTGATTCTAATTTCTGACCCAACTCTCCAATGGAACAAGGAATATTTTCTTTTACCATTGTACGTTCGTTATAAAGTCGCTAAAGGTTTTAGAACAATTTCTGCAAGATCTTAGCAAACATTTTGCTACATCATGTTGTTCATTGCAACAAAGATACGTTAGGAGTTGTAGAAAAATTTGTAACTTTTATAAATATTTGTTTTTAAACTATAAATGAAGTATTTGCACATACTTTGCATAGACAGGTGTTTCTCTTATTAATGTTGGGATGTCTAATCCTAAAGGGTCTTAACCTGCAAAATGTAGTGTACGATATTTTAACGTTAGTACTATCCGCGATTCCGCGAAATCTTTGTGCAGCTTCTTTAAGGATGCATTTAAATAGCGAATTTGTTTTTCTGCCATTGTATGTTTTAATGGGACTTAATTTGGAGTTTTCGTCCCTTTACTTCTTTAACGATGCATTTAAATAGCGAATTTGTTTTTTTCTGTCATTGTATGTTTTGGTGTCTTTTTTTTTTCGGGAGCTAATTTGGAGTTTTCATCCCTTTCAAAAACCTCTCTATTTCTTTTGTTAAACGATAAATTGTTGAGTTGATATCATTTTTATATTTTACTCTTTCACGTGTCTTACCAAAAATTGTTTTTGTATATTTTATCATTTTGTATTTTTTAAAACCTTTCCTTTTACATGTTCTTATTATCTATTTTTCTTTCTGTGTATTAATCCGTTTATAATTAATTTTCATCTGCTTGCAAATTGTCTCGGAAAATATAATTTATTTTAATTTGTTTTAATTTATTTTAATTTAATTTATTTTAATTTATTTTAATTTATTTTAATTTATTTTAATTTACTTTCTTTTACTTTTATCTTTTTATTTAATTTGATTCATTTTTGTGTAATTTTATTTATATATTTATTTACCTATTTTAATTATTTTTTTTATCTTTATTTATTTTTATTATTTTTAATCATTTTTATTTAGTTGTTTGTTTTTAATTAGTTTTTATTAATTTTTATTTATTTAATGGAACTTCAAGTGAGGACTAAACTGTCGTAATGTCGTTGTTAGTTCATTACTCATATTTTTCATGTCAGGCAAGCCATAAGGGGGCGTCCATTAATTACGTGAGGTGTTCAAGGGGGGGAGGGGATCAAGCTAAACCTTTCCAAATCTCACTTGGGGGAGAGGGGGGGTCTTTGTAAATCTGACGTAATTTTTTTCTAATAGAAAACGATGTAAAATTGCGTGAAAAAGAAAAGTTAAATTAAAGTAAAGAATGTTTTTAGAAATTTTATATTACGGCAATATTCTCAAATACTAGTCTTTGCTTGTCTTAAATAAAAGTAATAGAACATATTTTTATTTTTTTTTTAATTCCAACGCATTTACACCCAAAACTAGGGTTGCCACCTGTCCTTTTTTGAACAGGACAGTCTTGTTTTGAAGCAAAATGTCCTTGTGACTTTTTAAAGCTTAAAATGTCCTTTTTACGGTAAACGCCCTCTTCTTTTCATATGACAGATGTGTCGTTTTTTTGAGTTTGAGTAACAGCGCACATACATTGAGGAGTTCTTTTTTTTTTAGATGCTCGGCAAGACCAAGAGGAAGATTTTCTTTCGTTCCGATGTTTTTTTTAGAAGCTCGGTAAGAGAAAGAGGAAGATTTTCTTTCGTTCAGCCCGACGACCGTTTTTTCTAGAAGCTCGTTAAGACAAAGAGGAAGATTTTCTTTCGTTCAGCCCGACGACTTTTTTTAGAAGCTTAATAAGATGACAATTTCTTTCCTTCAGCTCGACGACTTTTTTTTAATAAGTTTACTGCAAGAGTGATGATGACTTTTTGTATACCAGAGCCACTGTCAACGTCATTGTCCTTTTTTTCACTTTTCAAAAAAGTGGCAACCCTACCCATTAAAAATCTCACGTGAGATTAGGGGAGGGGGGAGGGAGTTGAGAAAAATCTTACGAAATCTCACCAGGGGGGAGGGGGGGGGGTCAAAAAATCCAGAAAATTACCTCACGTAATTAATGGACGCCCCCTAATAAGTTCACTTCAAAATTTATTAAACCATATAAAGTCATATTAAAAATTTGTAAATTTAAATTGTCATAACTTAAAAAAAAAAAAACATGAAAAAAATTATTTTTCTGCAAAGAAAGTAAATAATAAAAAGAAAATAAAAATCATTGAATTTTCAGCTCATATATATCTCCTCTTAACTTCTAAACACCCTAACTCTGTTAGTTTTAATAATTGCAAAAAATGCTAAATATAATTTTTATGTAAAACTTTATGCTTTACAATTTTTATTAAGAACTTTTTTTTATAGCACCTACCGTTTATAAATAACCTTAAAAAAACACTTTATTTTCTTGTTTATTGCCATTTGCTGGGGTCTAAAAACAAAAATTTTTTACCTATTGTTTTCAAATACTCTCAAGTGACTTATATCAAAAATTCCTGTATTTCCTGCAAACTTTTGATTTAAAGGTCTATTTGATTGGACTAATAACCTCCTTTTCTTTAAGTTCCTTAGAAAAAATTAATTTAAAAAATGAAATTAACCGAGTAAATAGGTAGTTGCATAAAAAGTGGCAATTCTTTGATATTCACTCAAATAAGTTAAATTATTTAGATATCAAAATAACACATACATGATTTAAGCTGAGATTTAAAAACTTTTTTTGTAAAAAATTCCCATATTTTGTTTTTCCTAGTAATGAATTAAGAGTAATTTTCCAAAAAATTAATATAAAATAATAAGCTGTCCAAGTGATGCTATCCACAATTTAATTTTAGTTAATTTATTTAAGTCCATATCTAATTTATTGCAGCCAAAATTGTTTATATACCTATGTAATTATATAAATTGATTTACATTTTCAGGTAAGTAAATAAATCCTAATAAAATAATCTCTGCCGATTCTGAGGGTATTCCATTTTGACTATAAATTATTTGCATAAAATTTGTGTGTTTTTCTACCCTCCAAGGATAGAGTAGTTATGACACTGAATGTGTAATCATAGTTGTTTGACATTGTCCAGTAATAAATTGATAAAAAAGTAAACTTCCTACCTGAATGTGGGAGTGGGAGGACCAGCATGCGGTGATTGAGACATGCCTACAGGTCGACCACCGTCTGGTTTATTGGTGACCAGTCTGAGAGGATTAGGAGGCGGCAAAAATGTTGGCGGTAATGGCGGTGCCAAAGAACTTAAAGAGTTTTCATTGTGCCCTATAGGTCTATTCCAATCGGCTGATTTTGTGAAGACAGATTGTTGAGATTTTGTAGAATTGTACAGTTGGGAAAATTTTCTGAAAGAAAACATACTAAAAGACTGGTTTATAACTATTATAATTTCATTATTTACTCTGGTGTTACACTGGAGCCTTCCTCTTCATGTAGCTCTGGAAGGCGTTCTAATCCTAAACAGTCTCTTCTTAATCTGTCAATTTCACTTTTAAGTGGTACAAATTCTTCATGCAGGCGAATAGCTGCTGACATGGACCTGGTTCTACTTTCTTCAGCTTGTTTTATCACACCTTCCATCTATAAAGTTTTTTTTATATAATTAACATTTTTGTTTTTATTAGGTAACTTACAGCATTTATATCAGCATGAATTTGTCTTAACTCTTCTACATGAGACATTTTTTCTTGTAGAAGCAAATCCATCTCTTGTTTGTATTCTGACAAACATTTCTCTTCTTGGTCTTGGGATTCTATTTCCAGTAATAGTCTAGCTTTTAATTTTTCAAGTTGTATTGTTTTCCCTCTGAAAATATTGATTTTTTCATCAGATACTAATATAAAAGCAAAATAAATTGTCACCTTATTTCTTTGAGAGCCTCTAGTTTGGCAAATACGGTTTGTTCATCTATAGAAGTCATATTATGCTTGAGCTCGAATTATTAAAACTTAATTATATTAAATTTGTTTATTTTCTTTAAGGAACCTTTTTGGTTTTTGTTTTTTACTGCGTCTATCTGTCGATCTGCATCTGTCAATAGTGTCAATTACAAGGGAAGTGCAACCAACTTGACAAAATAAAATTGACACTAATGACATAAGAAATCGGGTCACTTTGGGGTCTATTCTAGGCGAGTTCGGTCAGTCAGGGGCTGGAGCGGGACAAATTTTAGGGTGCTTTTAAATGACATTTAAGCGTGTTAAACTGTCACTAATCGGACTAAACCAAAGATATCGGATAATAGATACGCCTTGTATACATTACACTTGTCCGCAACTTTTTTTTTACGGTACGCTCTTCCTATGTTGTCAGATCTCTTTCATCAAATATCAAACAATAAATTTTTATTTAAAAAGTTACTATTTTACCTTTAATACAATCTAATAAAAAAAAGATATAAAGAATTGAAAGCATCAATATGAGTTTTTTATTAATTGCAATCACTTAAGACTTTTAAGTAGCTATTTTTACATGTGTATCATATGGGAATATTAAACATTTTGGTATAAATCATTTAACTTTGGCAACCTAAGACATTTTGCTGATGTTGTCAAAGTGACAGATCAAGTTTTATTGTGATTTTTGTGGTTTTTGTAGTTTTCAAGAATAATTTAAACCCTGAACTTTTTATTAAGGACTTTTACGTTGGGGAGGAAATGTATAGTGTGCCGAAATACGCAGAATAAGAATGTTATTCGGTCATTTCATAAATAAGATTATGTTAGCATAGACGTAGGCATATACAGGGGATAAGGCTTAATTTATTTAACAGTGTAAAGGCATTTAGCACTAGCATTATTTATTTAAATAATAATGTTCTATATTTTCTGATCATTTCCTAGAGAAATTATTCGACGTAGAATTTGGCTGCAAAATCTATGCTTGGTGGAGGAAAACATTATGAAAATGAAAGAAGCCTTAGTATATGTTCTGACCATTTTTGTATTGCAAATATTTATGAAAATTTAAGTGGTAGACACATCTTAAAACATAATGCTATACCTATCAAGTAAGTACAGTATTTATTATAAGTATTTTTATTATATGTAAGCTCTAAAATTATACAGTAATCATCACATTTTACAGAATTTTGGGAGAGGTAGTTGAATAGGCGAAAAATGAAAAAAAAAATACTTTTTTTAGTGCAGTTCGTAACAGATGCTTCAATTACAATCTCACATGGAGATTGTTTCAAAATTGTTACAAAAAAATATTAATTCATAATGAAGTAAAGTCAAATAAAACTGCCAATGCAATTGCTTTGGATGGCACCAGCATTTTGGATTGTAGCAACACTAGTAGCCAAATTGCGTTAAATTTAAAATGTTACGAATCAGACACGAATGAAAATTTGGAATTTACAAATGAGCTTCGTGACCATGATTACCTATCTATATATTTTCTGAGCGAATACATTCAGGATGTAGTTGCTGATATTTCTGGTTTTATAGTAAAATCCTTAAAGAAAAAGATTCACTGCAAACAGTGTTCTGCAATTGAACCAGTGAGTTCGAAAACCGTACAAGTCTCAAATTTGACATTTCAAAATAAGCCATTTCGTTTAAAATTTGTCTCTTCATCGATGCGCTAGTTCAGTGATGATGTAATTATGGTTCCACTGACAATTAAAGTGACAGTAGATTTTTTGAGTGCGTTTTGTTCGTTTTGTTTATCTAAATTATATCGTTTTTTTCACTTTTATTAATATATTCCTAAAGTAAGTAGATATCAAATATATAATCGTTTAGTTATATACATTTAAACTATTTTTTATGACCTGTAAACAATATTTTGAAATAAAATAAAAACAGTAAAAACGTATATGCCAAATTTATTGATGTTTCTGTTAAAAGTTTGGTTAGAATTAAATGTCAGTGGAACCAAAATGACATCACACTGAACTAGCGCATTGAGCTTAAAAACCGTACTAGATACCTAGCTGTTAATGTAGTACAGCTGATTATACCCGTGAAATTAGGTGAAAAACCGTACATATCTGCGACTCGTACGGTTTTTCATATCAATAATAAAATAATGGTCAGTTGGAAAAACACAAATACTGAAAATGATGACTGAGATAACAGTTTTGATATTGTATTTTTCCTCCTTTTTGAATAAATATAAAATAAATCTTTTCTCTTCGACAGACTTTCTGTCTCAACTGTCAAAGGTGCTACTTTCTGTTCTTAATACACAAATAGCTATTTTGTCTTTTATTCCAAAATATGCTTTACAAAATATCAGTTATCCTATAACACTAAATAAATCTATTGAGCAGATTCTTCACCAAGAGTGTTTGTAGGAGTAACCATTGATAGTAAAAAGAAGCTTCCTTTAGTGTTTTTTCTATTCGGACAAATTAGAAATAAAGTATCTCTTGATAATCTTAAGCTAATGTGTTTTAGCCTTGTCCAGATATTATAAAATCATTGCTGATTACGGTCCTAAATGAGTTATTATATCATTACATAAATAATTCTAAAAATAGGTGTCGTGACATGCAACCCAAATGGTATGTAATAAAAAGATCATATTTGTATATTTATGTATCGGAAATAAAATTATTCTGTTTTTAATAGCTTTTTATTTCATAAAAAAAAGGTAGTCCGGCAATATACTTAATTATTCTTTTTTCGACCTGTAGAAAAGGTTTTCAAAGAGTACCCATGTAAATATAATAATAAATGGCTTTATATTTTTACTTGCTCTTTGCTCTTCATGTATTTAAAAAAAAATATATAATAAAATACTAACAAAAATGTTCTTCCACTTTGAGCTACCTACTATTTTAAACTATAAGAAAATATATAAAATGACTTTTTGAATGCCCTGTATAAATTGAATATGTTTTCTTTAAATTTACCTTTGATTCCGAAGACCCATAGTTTATTGATTTGGTCATTAAATAATTTTTACTAAAAATATATGTAAACCCTCCCGAAACACTACGTCAATGTGCGACGTACGATTCCCCTTTCCCCGTCTGGTAAAACATGCGGACATTAGGTGTATTGGGTATACAGTGTGTAGGGCGAGTCTATCTTAGATAATATGATGTCTATGGACTAAACCTAACGCTAAAAGGGTCGTTTGGAGTTAAAAGTGTTAAAGGAGTTAAAGGAACTTGGCAGACCGAACGCAATGTCTGTAACAATCTCCGAGCAATTACTACTAGAGGGAGTCTTCCCCCCTTCCCCGCGCTAAATTTTGTTAGCAACATCTACTCCCCCCGAGGGGGAAAATACCTCTTCTGTAATTGGCTTATTTAATCAGCGTTGCCAAGTTTGACAGCGCCAGAAGTGTTCTGTGAGCGCCAGTTCTGACACATGTCAATTTCTTATTTGTATTTTACGGAAAATATTATTATTTATAACGTTGTAAGGGTTGTAAATGTATATTTAAGATTTATTATCTCTAATAATATGGTGAAAATATGCTTTATGTGTAAAAGACCTGTTGAAAATGCTTCTTCAAGATAATATCATAAGTAAGTACAGACACAACCTAATTATCAGAGGCGGTGCATTAGGCAATCACTTTTAATTTGCAATTAAACTTTCTTATTTTCTTATCGAAAAATTAAAATTAAGAGCAAGTAAACTCCAGCTAAGTTCGTCTTCATCCGTCTCATAATGATTATAATAAAGGTTAATTACTTATTATTATTTTAATATCACATCTTTGTAAAGTTTATTGTTATTTTTTTTAGGTTTCCTTTTCTTGATATGAGAAAGAAATACATGGTTTCAAAATATAGGAATTCAACAAGTGACCACCTGAATAACTTTTTATGCTAATGAACATTTTTATTACAGACCTCAGGGAAGGAAAATATTAAAGAAAAATGCAATTTCGATGAAAGAAGTATAATAATCAATCCTGTCACTACTTCTACATTATATTCATCTGCTACTAAAATACTAAAACAGCAAGTAAGTAGAGAAACTTAAGTTTCTTTCAAAAAGAATGTTTAAGGAAAAAGGCCTAGCCATTTTTTTGTTCACACTTTTTTTTAACTAATCTAAAAGACTAATTTTGTGTATTGTTTAAATGTTCATTTTTTGTACTTAATTTGTTTTAGGTTTAAACAAAATGAACTTCTAAGATATGCATGGAATATCCCAAAAGAGCTAAGGAAGGTTTTAAAATTCTTAAAACTATTCAGAGCCAAAAACATAAAATAGTCTTCCTGTCCAAAATATAAATAGGTATAAATATTTAGATATTATGAGTGATTTTTTATTCTATAAATAGAACATAATTTGCTTCTAAATCACTACCTAATGAACTATATTATATAGTACAAAACTAAACACGAATATCACATTATTCATGTTTTTTTTAATTTCCTTAAAAAAAACGTCTCAAAAAAACGTGACTATTTATTATTGGAGTTAACATCGTTATGCTAAAACAACTTAAATAATGTGGATTTTGACTATTTTGAGTTATGCAGATCATTATGATCTAAAAAAATGTTTGTCTGGTGCTATAGTCAGGCATAAAAACATTCATTTATTTAAACACAGTTGCAATATACATTTTATTTAGTTTTTAAGTTAAAACCTATTAGGACATCCTAAAATTACTTTTTTCGTTTGATGTGAGATTAATTATTCTACATTTTTGTTGGTGAAATAGGATATATTAAGATGTCTTACTGTTTTCTCTGATTATCTAAAAAGTTAGAACAATATACAAAGACTGTTATAACAAAAAAGAAATATACCTTTACTTAAACACACAATTAGTCAGTTCAATTGTACGATAATTTAAAGCAGAAATCAAGAAAACTTTAAAAATGTGTTTAAATGTGTTTTTACTATAACAAGGACATAATTATTAAAAAAACTTGGCACATTAACATTGACGATAATTTTTTATAATATATATTATACAAATCACAACGAACTACACAAAATGATATTATTAATAATTTAGCAATAAAAAAGTTAAGTACAATGATGACATTAAAAGTTGAGTTTCTCGAAACACTTTTTTTAAGTTGTCTCAGTAACTACTCTAGTATTTTTCTAGCACAATGATATTATATGAATGTGTATTGTGTGATATCTTATATTTTAGGAATAAAATTATATATTTTTTTGCAGGTTTCTGTTAACAACGATTCCAAGAACTTTTGAAAATATTATTAAAACGGCCTTTGCAAATATAATTCTCAATTAAGAGCTATTGATCCAACATTAAATTTTTATTCTCCATAAGGTTATAGCTTCCTAAGAAGAAAGTTTAACAAGACTTACCAGACTCAAAATATCAAAATTACCAAATATTACCAACCAATTGATGGTTCTACTGGTTTCCATAGGAAAATTCTCCTCGAAACTACTAAAAGAAAAGTAGCAGAGGCAACCGAAGAAGGCAAAAAAGTCTTTTGCAAAACAAAAACTAGAAATTTGTTTGAGAATCTAATTATTGTTTGAAGTTTTACCATTAATAATTTTTGATAACGATTTAAGATTATGAAGTTCTATTATGAATTTTACTCTTTGATAACCTATGTTTAAATTTTTATTAGGACCAAAATAAATTATAATTTTCATTTCAACTACAAAAACCCTCATAACATCAAAAAGGGGAAAAACGTTAGATTAGTTATGTTCAGGAATAAACTCTTTAAACATTTATCTACTTAAAATGTATTACTCTTAGAAGGTATGTTATTAACTTTCTGTTTGAACTTTTATTAATTTATTTCATTTTATTATCTGTTGTATGTTCAAATTGATTTTGATATTAATCTTATCTATTTATATATTTTTTATACTCACATATATGTTTTTTTCATTGAAACAAACGTTTATTAGCTTATTAAATATAATGAATTCATGTTGTTTTATTATATGCTTGGATGAATGATTACTTTTATTTTCTTTTAAAAATGAATTTCGAAGATAAAGCCGAATACGGTGAGTGAGAATAAAAAATTAGACGAAAGTGGCGATATTTACTGGAGCTTTCATCTACACGCTCCTTTTTCTAGCCATCTACACCTGATCCAGCAAGATTCGTCTTCCCTCCATCCTTACATTCTCCAGATTTACAGAGAAAACGCAGTTCTCTTTAACATATCCAGACCTTCTTTGACGGGGACTATACCACTACATTATCAGATTTACTTGTTATCCCGAGCAATTTAAATGCATTCGTAATTGCTCATTCTCACCTCTTCTCTTGTATATTCCGTACTCAGTTTTCTTATTTTTAGTTACGTTTGCACTGCTCTTTTATTTTCACAGCTTTAATTCTATAATGCTGTAACGCTACAATATATGGATCCATTTTTGTGGTTTATACTATTTAATGATATTCGTAAGTGTTCGTAAGTGACCAACCTATTATAATAATTAAAGATTATTGTATTACAGTCCTGAAGATGTTCCTGTAAGGCCGAAACTAGTCGCTCCTGTATTTATAATAAAATTGATTTTAAGGTTTTATTCTTCATTTGAAAAAATTAGACCTTTACAGTGATTTTGTTTCTTTTCCTGCATTAGACACATATAAGATGGTATTCATTTTAAAAATAGTAAAATTAGCAAATTTTTAGTTTTTTTTTACAATTAAAACGTTTGGACAATGTGTGTTTTTATAGATAAATGATACGCCACTGAACAAGAAGGATGTTTACCTTCCCCCTTGTGCCCGCTTCCTTACTTCCTCTACAGATGTTGCTAACACAACAATCGCCTACAAACTCGTTTTCACGCTCCCTCTATTAGTAATTGCTCGGAGGTAACAATCACATACTTTGATTTTCTTTACTATACGGGGCAAGAGAGAGGTCCGACACGCCCAACATAGGGCGCGGCCATTTTGAACCCTATGATACAGTTTATAGCTAAAGAATCAGATCGCTCACTCTGCGTCGGCCCTTTTTATCTCAATGTTCCAGTTAATACACTGCGCAACTCAGATAATACAATATATGACAACCGCCTATAATAAAACAGCAGTCTTCTGCGTATCCTGAATTTGTATCCCTGGAGTGGATGTTATGTTGGAACTTTCAACTGGTCCGAGTGAGTTAAATAATATTCACTGACACTGACAGCAGCAAGCAAAATATCAGGTGCGTTTTAATCATCCGCTTCTGCTTCCGGAATTGTCGGTTCAGTCGTTCTAACCTGTCAGATTAAAACAAGAAAACCGACAATTCCGAAGCAGAAGCGGATGACTAAAACGCACCTATTAAAAATATTGCGCCAAGATGTAGGCAACACGTAATAAGTGTTCAAAATGGCGGAGTTTTCTATCTCCTTTTAAAAGGCACTCAGAAAGCTGCGCAGTCCGACCATTCTCCGTATAGTAAAAGAAAATCAAAGTATCTGATGGTCGCACTACGCAGCTTTCTGAGTGCCTTTTAAAAGGAGATAGAAAACTCCGCCATTTTGATCTCTTATTACGTGTTGCCTACATCTTGGCGCAATATTTTTAATAGGTGCGTTTTAATCATCCGCTTCTGCTTAGGAATTGTTGGTTTTCTTGTTTTAATCTGACAGGTTAAAACGACTAAACCGACAATTGTGAAAGCAGAAGCGGATGATTAAAACGCACCTGATATTTTGCTTGCTGCTGTCAGTGTCAGTAGGTCTTTTCCTTTGCATCGACAGTGTAGCACTGAGCTACGTCACTTCTGAAAATATTGTTCCATCCGTACAATTTGTATAAATGGAACGATATATTCAGAAGTGGTGTAGCTCAGTGCTACACTTTCGATGCAAAGGAAAAGACCTATTGAATATTATTTTTGGAGTCACAGTTTACTGCTAAAGAATCAGTTAGCTCACTCGGACCAGTTGAAAGTTCCAAAATAACATCCACTCCAGGGGTAGTATTCTCGAATCACGAATACCGACATTCGCATACGTGTTTTACAATGTGTCTCACTTTGTTGAACGAAAACCAAGTGAGACAAATCATAAATCTCGCATGCGAATCTATATTCGTGACTCGAGAATACTACCCCAGGGATACAAATTCAGGATACGCAGAAGACTGCTGTTTTATTATAGGCGGTTGTCATATATTGTATTATCCGAGTTGCACAGTGTATAAACTGAAACATTGAGATCAAAAGTGCCGACGCAAAGTGAGCGATCTGATTCTTTAGCTGTAAAGTGTGTCACAGGGATCAAAATAGCCGCGCCCTATGTTGGGCGTGTCGGACCTCTCTCTTGCCCCGTATAGTAATCAAAGTATGTGACGCCCGTGAAAACGTGACAAGAATTCTCGAAATTGACAGTCTGGGGTAGTATTCTCGAGTCACGAATATAGATTCGCATGCGAGATTTATGATTTGTCTCACTTGGTTTTCGTTCAACAAAGTGAGACACATTGCAAAACACGTATGCGAATGTCGGTATTCGTGATTCGAGAATACTACCCCTGGCATCCAAATTGTCATGTCGTTTTTTTCACCCTTGTCGGCTTAGAAATTAGGAGTAGGGTTTATGTCATATAGCCATCATCCAGTTTAATATCAAGGTCGGTGAAATGTACCAGAACTATTATTAAATACATTTAACAATAAAACTTTAATATTATTTAGTTGAGAGAAAATTATTTCTGCTGCTGCAAAAGAATGGGGTAATGATAAGCCACAAATATTTTTTTGAAATTTTAAATATTTGGTTCATCCAGTGAATATTTTTATTTTAAAGATGTTAGCCCAAAATTCACCTAAGGGTAAATTTTTGTAATTTAATATTTCTTCAAAGTCTTAAAGGGTCTAACAATGTATAAATTATATATAAAATGCTGCAGGCTGGTGGTAATCCCCTACTAAACTAAAAACTGACCAATAACAAAAAAAAAAATAATACAATATAATAAAGTGACGCCTATCTTGGATTTGTTGAAACAAGAAAACAGAAATAATAAATGTATAGATTTTTACAATTTTTTATGGGCTCTGAAGTTTAGATGGAACCACTCATAAAATTTCGATATTTTAAAAAGTAATAGATTTTCCTCTTTTCTTAAAAGTCGTAATAACGTACTGGTGTAACTTTTTAGTAATAGATTTGTTACAATTGTAATAGCAACGGCAACACTACTGCGAAATTCTCGAAGCCGTCCGACGTGGTTTGACGTTTCATATGCAATTAATAATAAACACGTTCCAATTTCGTATCTAGTTCGATGTGTAAATTATAGGTAATAATAATAAATAAGTCAGCATTTTTATTATTATAATTTACACATTGAACTAGATACGAAATTGGAACGTGTTTATTATTAATTGCATATGAAATTAAACATTTTAATTCAATAAATAATTAATTTCACATACAGGATGTTAATTTAATTGGTGAATATAAAGAAAAATGTTCAAATCTGAACACCCCCTTTCTACCTACCGAAAGCCTTTCCAACTTTTACTTTCGCTATATTTGCTGCGTTTGAGAATCCACATCGGATGCATCTGAGATGTAAAAAATCTTTGATCACGTGATTCAGTATACGTAAATGTAATGGCCAATGGGACAGATAAGTCCGATGTGGATAAAAAAACGCTCGAGATGTAAAAAATGCATCCGATGTGGATTCTCAAACGCAGCAATTAGATGTGTCCGATGTGGATAAAAAAACGCTCGAGATGAAAAAAATGCATCCGATGTGGATTTTCAAACGCGGCAAAGATATAACAAAAAATTTGATTTGACAAGAGTAATTCGGGCTTACCGTTCGTATTTATTGGGCAGAAATAAACGTTCCGACGAATTTTGTCCGGACGATTGAAAATTTGACGCTCTCGATTTATGAACGCACCCCTGGGTTTGAACTAATTTTTTCTTTGACATATGACATATGACGTCGACTGAGTGGACTGCGAAATCGTGGGCCAACCTAACACGAGTATATTCATATTATTTACGTCTCTTTTGGTCTCTTCTACGATTTTGTGCTGTGTTGTGATTTATAGTACAATCTTATCAGTTGTATATATAAAAAGTTTAGTAAGAAATATTCAAAGAAACGTGATTCGGCCACCGTTATTTATCTAGTCTGAAAACGAAAAAGCAATTTTTAAAAATGAATTATTTAGTGTCGGTATTGTTTGTGCTAGCTTGTATAAACTTTACAACGCAAGGTAACTTTGATTTGAAACCAAATAAAATGTAAATTAATCACAATTAAATTTCAGATAATGCCACCACCGCTGTTAATAAAACGTTAAAAGATGGTGGTACTGTTATTAATGATAAACCAGCTGAGATACCTAAATTCATTCCAATTCGTAAGTATAAATAATGATTATATGAAAGATAAATTTGTACCTTTCTTATTAGTAATAATGCCAATTAATCTAAAATTATATTATCCTAGTTTCTTATGGGGATATTCCAAATAGTAAATGAAATAAAAGTACAGTATGATACCCTCATAATGGCCATTAATCTCAAATTATATCATCCTTATATTACCCTATCTTGTTATGGGGTATTCCAAATTATTCATTGTGATTTTGAGAATACTCTACAACCTAGTAAATGAAATAAAAATTCAGTGTGATCCTGTCACCATGCCTCCAGTAAACTAAAATCATAAGTGCCAAGAGAATAATAAATGTGACAATATATAGGTATAAGGAGAAAAATCCAAAATCTATACCAAATTTTATTTTTTTATTTGTCTTGTTGAAGATGACCACATTTGAGAGGTTGGATTTCCTTCTCTTATATAAGTATATATAACATTGATACAAGTGATGGTGATTAAATTTCTCTTTAGAGAACCAACTCTTTGATTTGTCAGTAGTAAATGAAATACCAAATGTGACTACCCAATTTTAAAATAACTAACTACTTCACTGGATTTATAACTGGGGATTCCCATATAGCTCAACTGGCATATCTATGGGAATACCAGGACAATTAATTGCCACATGCCTCATATCATATCCATTGTCATTGACTTTTTCCTAGGGCTGTTAGGGAATAGCTTTTTGACGTATCTAGTACAATCTGTACCTGTTCCAAGTAGATACCTATTCCAAATACCTATTCCCCTTACAAGCTATTCCAATTCTAAATTTTTAACAGAATATTGTTGTCGCTTGGCGCATATTCAGTAGAGAATATGAGAATCCCTGAATCTGGTGAATCCCATAAGCATAATATACTGGATTGTCTCTGATAATATATAATATCGATCAATATAGTATTTAACTTAAAACATGCTGTTGTTTACATAATAACATTAATTAAATGATTGTTCATTATGAATAGACATTCGAGTGTAGTGTGTAATTTTTTTTCGGTGGTAGATGACAAAAAACAAATTGCAAAATGTAATGTGCAAAACAGTAATTTCTTATAAAACCGCAGTGTTTAATTAAAAAAAAAACACCTTCTAAGAAAGCACCAGAGGTGTAATTTCTTTAAATAATTATAAAAATGTCACTAGTTCATAAATATTCTCCTGTCTTATAAACATATTATAATCCCTAAAAAAATACCTACAATAAAGAGAGTTGAACGAAAAACGAAACCTAATACCAACATACTGAATAGGTACACAAAAATATAAAAGTCGGTTTGAAAGGGTTTGTCCTTTTATTAAATTTTTAATTTTTATGTAACCAAATGTCATTTTACATTTTACCTATAACTATAGTCTGAATAAAAGAGGAGTGCAGTAAAAATGGGGATATAACGTCACATTCCAAAGGCGTACTTTGCACAATAAGTTTTTATAATATAAATAAGGTCACGGCATATAAAATGGTATATATGCACTTCGTAGATTAAATTTTGAATGAAAAAAGATATTATTTACAAAAAATAAAAATCCTATGCTTCTGACAAAATTGTGGCACTTTAACATTGAACGAATTAAATTTAACCAATAAATAACAAGGAGGATTATATGTTGTTAATGGGATTACACTTTTTTGCGTTGTACATTGTCTATTTTGAAGAGCGGTTAATATTAAAAATCGGGTGTCCGCTGCTATGGTAACCCTTAGACGACCTTGGTCAGGCCTTCTGTCGTAGTGCCCTGTTTGTTTCTCTAAACCGGGCAGCTACCCTGGAAATTGTTGATTGTTGAACATCAAAAGCATTTGCAATGTAACGTTGACTACGTCCTTCTTCAAGTAATGTAATGATCTAACCACTTCGTCATGTCCCAAATTTCTTCTCTGGCGGTCAGGATTATTCATTTCAATAATTTTCAAAATTAAATACTACAAAAACCAAGTTAACTTTACTTAATATTGAAAGCGATTAATCGCGAAAGTTGGTTGCAATTTCAAAGTATTAGTATTTATTTTACAAAAACATTTACACATAAAAAAACTCATCTTTTTTTGCATATAAGTATCCAAAACTAATATACAGGGTGTCCCAATACTTAAATATATCGAAAAATCAAATAAAGAAAAAACTTTCTGTCACTTTTAATAATGATGCGCTAATTTTTGTGCAGAGTGTATTTTTTGAATTTGTTTTTATGTTGCCTTGCTATTATAGTAATTCTGCCTTCAAGGATTTAGGAGGACTGATAATAATTTTTGGAATGAAGGCATTTTGAAATATCTTCTTTTTTCCATCTTGTTGTAGGTAATGACTCCTTTAATTCGACTGTGACAGGATGCATTATCCAAAACAATAACGGAGTTAGCTGAAATTTTTTTTATAATGTTCTGAAACCAATTTTCTTTGACTCGAACATTAATAAACCATCTTGCAAAAATCCATCGGTGCTTCCAATGTGGGTTCCAATTATTAAACAATTTCCTTTTCCTGTTGGATTTTTTAATCCACAAGAAACCCCTTTCATAAAGTCTTATTTTTTAGTTTTGATGTAGGTATCTTGCCAAATTTTTGTTACTGTATGTCCAGCATTAACCCATGTTTCATCTAAATAAAATACTTACCCTGTTTATGCTGATTCTTTGCGTCCGCTATATTCCTTAAATAATCATGTCTTTACACAATGATTTTATCTTTCTCTTTTAAAAAGTTGTTTCTGTCACGTTTTCTGTAACAAAAATTTAATTCATGTAATATTTTTTGCCGATGAAAATATATATTTGGAAGAGGGGCTATTTTCTATTTCTAAGTGTAATTATTTAAGTGACTTATAATAGTGTCTCATTTTGACAAACATAAGGGGGTCCAAGAATTTTGGCGTTTTGTGTATATAAGGATATATCCAAAATTATATTAGTTTTCAGAGTAAAAGTTATATTAACATATTTTTATTTCAGAACCATCGACCGATATTACAAGTACAACAACTATAGTTCCAACGACACTCAATCCAAATAATACAACAACAGCTAATCCCAATTCCACCACGACAGCACCCACTACTACAAAGCCAACAACCACTACAAAGCCTACGACAACTTCGTCCACTACTAGTACAACAACAACAACAACAACCAAAACAACAGTTCATACTTCTACACAGAAACCTATTCCTCCTTCTCCCAGTCCTAGTCCTAATAGCACTTCAGTCAAACCTCCTACGTCTAGTGTTAGTCCTGTTACCACTGAGAAGCCTGAACCAGAACCTCATAGAAGGTAAGTTATTTTTCAATTTCAATATTTTATTTATTTAGATATCATACATTGCAGAAATCATTCTAAATAGCATGGATAAAAAATTATTACAAAATAAAAATAAAAAAACTAGCTGCTCCTGTGGAACTGGATATTGTAACAATTGTTTAATTTAAAAATAGTTTATTTAAAACAGTTCATTTATAATTTATTTACACCAATTACTAATTTATTTATTTAGACTTAATTCGCACTTCTAATTTATTTAACAATTTATCTTCATTCGACAACATTTATATTGAAACTTAGCTTAAACGGCGAAAAAACTCACTTAAATTTATAAAATTCTAACAGTCCAGAAAGATCCAACTCTTACTAGAAGCACAGTGCTAGTCTAGTAATTCTGGAAATTATCCTCCACGCGTTGGACTGCGAGAGAAAACATTCGAAACAGTGGAATCTTAGACAGCGCGACGGCTTGTAAGGAGAAGTCCAGGGTCGGAGCGGGCCTCGCACGACAATATGTAGCAAATCTCTTATTCTGGTGTGTCTGGTTGGGGTTTTAATATTAATAGTAGCAAGGAGCGAGGTGCAGTCAATGAAGTAATAGATCAGCTGGTAAAGAAAAAGCAGTTGAACACATTTTCGATTATATTCAAAACTTTAAAGACTACTTTATTGACATCTAATAAAGTTATAATCTTATTATTAACTATCTGAAAAGTATGCCACTTAATAAATCTCAGCATTCTGAGCTTTTACGGTTATATTTCCAACATGAGTGAAACGACTTTTTGCAAAAATATTTAAGTTCATCCGCATATAGTAGACATTTGGTGTGTTGAAAAATTTCAACATCATTATCGAACAGAGGAAAAAGTGTTGGACCTAAATGAGGTCCTTGAGGCACACCAGAAAAGGTATTCCCTTCTCGAGATTTGATTCCACCAATCACGACGATTTGCTTCCTATTCTCTAGGTAAGACTTGAGCCAAGATAAGTATTTTTCATGATTCCAATGGCTGAAAGTGGTTTAACTAGAAGTGAATAATATACACAGGACTGACATTCGACCCTTGACTATTCATGAACTGTAGAAATAAGAAAGTTTGAAATACCTGTGCGATCCATAGGTCTGGGAGATGAAGATAACCTCTGGTTGAAACACTTTTATTTTAAAACACGAATGGAATGATTTGATTTAATAATAATAATAATAATAATTAATAATACATGATTTATTTATGAACGAACACTTTTACATTATTTACAGCGTTTCTCTCGGAAATTTGTTACTTTAAGAAATTTTACTTGAGAAATAAAATGTTACATGATGACGGGCACAGCGTCCCTGCTTATCGCGGCAAACGGGTGTGGTCTCGATGACTGTTTTAGTAGCAGTGAAGCGAACGAAGCGAGTCAGCGAGGTTGAGGCTGACGCTTGACGTTGACCAGTGAGGAGTGGATGACGCTTGTAAGGTATTTATTTGTGGGAGAATTGCCTTATCGGCCAAGAAAGTGCAGATTACATAGACGTGTCTAGGAGTGAATGTACATTGGATGCAATGCGGAGTGTAACGATGAATGTTAACAAACAATATTTGACAAAGTGGAATAACCAGAGATTTGATGCATTTTTTGAGAAGGAGAGGCGGCATCCCATTGAGGCCTACATTATTTTTATTCAAAAGTGATATTTCCGAATTTAGTTATTCAGTATTGACAGTAGCTATTGATAAGAATGGAAGATTTTTGGAAGGAACAGAGAAATCCACATTACCATGGTCAGAATAACAGCACATTATTTTGCTATCGGTCAAATTTGATGCCTTACAATACCGTTCGATGCGAGACTGTGTTACAGATACTGACAGATTTGAGGATAATAATGAATATGCCTCCATTTTTTATTCCTGAAAAACAAAAGTACATAATATTTTTGAACAAGTACATATAGCGTTGGAATGTGGTAGTCATAAAACGCCATAAACTTACAAAGGAAATTATTTTTGCAATTATAGGAAGCCAAAATATTTAATGGTACAAAAACTAACATATTTTCAACAAAGGTAGGTACCCTAGGTAGTTGTATTTCAATTATATCTATCAAAGTGTTGCCAAGTAATTAATAGTTTCTAGTTGGTGTCCCAAACGAATATCCCGAGTCGATTTGGAATATTCAGACGTGACATGTGATAGTTGTTGGTTTCTAATATTATTATGTTGGTATTAATCGAAATTCGAGGTTAAGCTAACCTAGTGTTTGTCTTTGGTCTTTGCCTTCTATCTTCTATCATTTTAATTTACAAATTATTGAACTTTTTTACTCGTTTCTTCAACATACAACAATATGAGCTGTGTCCAGGCCTTTGGAGTCTATGCCGGTCGGCGTAGCCAGGTATGCGAAGCCGCTACCCTACGAGAGGTCGTTGATTCGTTTTCTTGTTGTATATTTTATTCTTCTGATTCTATATCACTATAAGTTTGTCATGGGAATATACGTTGTGGTGCTTTTTATCATATCACACATAAGCTTAATTTCGAATTTCGATCAATACCAACACAATAATATTACAAACCAACTACTGACTGCCACATGTCACGTCCGAATATTCCGAATCGACTTGGGATAATTTGTTCGGACATCGACTAGAAAATAGTTTGTCTAGTACCGAAAATACCGCTGAACTTTATGTACTAATAAATGCGCCTTAAATACAGGGTGTTCCATCTCAGACGAGCCACCCTGTATATTTCTTATCCCATAGTAATTAAGTAATTGGAAAAATTTCCCGAAACACGTCGGATGATTTTCTTTGGGGGGCATCTTTTGACGTATATTTGAGACTTGAACGAGCAACCCCCTATGAGGGGTTGCTCGTTTTGTTTTATCATGCTTACAATTAAAAAAAAAACAAAACTGCGTTTTTAAATCAAATGTTTCAAATTGTCCTCCATTAATAATTTCTCTCGAACTAATAAATAAAAAAAAATCAAAACATTTACTTATCTGGCCTTCATTTTTTGTTCTTAGAAGGTGTTTATCACGTTTCTTCGATCATTTCATGTGATAAAACATTAATTTTTTTTAAGAATGTGATTTTTTTCATACACCGTTGTAAAGAGGCTTCCAAGACCTTACAATTGAAGTATCACTCAACCCCTCTTCCCTATTAAAATTTGAGGGATTGAAGCGCCCCCTCATGGGGGGTTGCTCGTTCAAGCCTCAAATATACGTCAAAAGATGTCCCCCAAAGAAAATCATCCGACGTGTTTCGGGAATTTTTTCCAATTACTATGGGATAAGAAATATACGGGGTGGCTCGTCTGAGATAGAACACCCTGTATATAATGTGCAATTGAGTTACTTATTTGAGTGCTTGTAGAAACCAACAACACTCTTCTACAGAAATAATTTTTTGTTATCAGGTAATCTAATAAAATGTAACTCTTAAATTAATAAACATATTCAAAATAATTTAAGATTCCTTGCTTCATGTGTCATGTTAAAAAAATTAAACAAAATTTCTCACCATTTGTTTGGTATTCTGTCCCGTTCTTTCATGCCTCTATTAGCTCAGTTGTCAAAAATTTCTGTTAAGGCATATTGCATATAAAAAATTTAAAGTGTATTTTTCATCTTTTCTTCCCAAACGCTGTCATTATGAGGAATTTTCTCCACTTCCTCGAGAAGTCCAAATGTACAAAATGCAAAAATCCATTTGTTATGTGCAGTTATGTGAATTTGAAATTACCAATTGTTGTCCTCCTTAATGGTATTGTCCTTTTTCCAAAAAGTAATTTTTCTATTGCATATTCCTTCTACAGTCAGCACTCTAGCTCCAAATGGACATTTTAAATCTATCATAGAGTTTGTTTTTTAAAATTATATCCGGACTGACAGCAAGATAATCAAATTCGGAATCAATCAAAAGTCCATATTTAAAAACTTTTTCTTGCAAATAAATTTCCAAATTATATTTTGCTTTGGCTTCATTGTCCATGCCATATTGGGTGGCTTTAGTAAAAAATAAAAGATTTTGAGATTTTTTAGAGGAGACGTTTTCTTTTTATACAAATTTCTCAAAATTTTGAAGTATTGACTCGTTTTCGTCTTTCATTGTGCCACAATGCACAATCAGCTTGATCTCGTACCACAATCGTTTTTCTCATCTATAGACATTGGCAAACTTTTTATAAAATCTTTTTTGCAACGTGCATCAAATAGTGCAACAGATCAAAGCCACGCTCGAATGCAAGAAAAATGATTTAATTAGTTGTTTACTCCAAGAGGTATTTATAAAAAAAAACTTCCGTGCGATATAAAAGTTAAACAAAAACGTATTTATAAATGATATCTAAGTGTATACTTTTTAATTTTGGATATATTTTTTTAAATAAATGATAAAATTAATTTAAAATAATTGAGCACAATTAGTGTATGTAGAAAATAACAAAGTGTACAGATAAAACAAAATAAATTAAAATCACTTGAGTATTGTTTGTCACTTGTAAATAGTAGAAAAATATATACGTTTTGTTGGATGTTCCCCTCTAGACGAAAAAGCTCTTTATTGTAAGAAAAATAAATGCCCATGTAGGCAAAAATTAAATAGAAAAAATTAAATATATTGTTTCCTTCTAGCACTTTTTTAACATTTTTATTTCTTTTCGTAATACATCTTTTTAGATTTTTTTCAAAAGAAACTGATTCAAAGGACCAGACACCTTTCTTATAAAAAAATTGCTTTCTGTCAAGTTTTATGAAATGTTGATATGTTGTAGAACTTGTAGAAAGTGTCCATGTTCATATATCTCACCATATTTATTTTAAAATACTTAATAAGCTTGCTCCCTCTTATTTCCAAGAGTATATAAATTACATTCAATTTTAGTGTACAACAATATAACACAATAAGTAAAACAAACATATTTTTTACATATTATATTACACAAAAAACTGTCCCATTCAGATTGCCCAAAAATAGTAGTTGCTCCAGATATTTTTGGGACAATCTGTT